CTTTGGAATATTATAAATAAGATTTATAATAAAACTTTACTCGATATAATAAATCGATATTTTAATAAATTAATAGAATCAAATTATAATGATTTTAATAATATAAATGAATATATAAACTATATATTATTATTATATATATATTTAAAAGAATTAAAATTTGAATTACAAAAATCTTATATAATATGGATTGTATTTAATAATCTAAATAACTTATTCGATTTATTTAAATTACGAAAAATAAAAGAATTATTAAAAGATTTAAATAATAATGATAATATTGATTTGAATAAGCTTATATTTGAATTAATATTTAAAGAATCAAGAATAAAAGGCTTTATAAAGTCTAATAAAATCATAAAACTATTAAATATTATTCTAAATTATATATTTTATAATAAAAAAGAGTATTTAAAAGAAAAGTATTTCAAAAAATACTTAAAACTATATAATAAGGATTATAAAAGATCTAAAAACTTTAATAATAAAAATAATTCCAAAAAATAATTCTATAAAGTTATTAAAAAATTAAATAATCTTAAAAAATCCAATAGAACCTATAAAAATAATAAAAATAATAAAAATTCCAATCAAAAACAAAAGAAAAATAATAAAAATCATAATAAAAATAATAAAAATTATAAAAAAAGCTTTAATAATAAAATAAATCAGGTTTCTCAAATAGATTATGATTTAGTATTTAGTTTTAAATAAGAAAATAATATTATAATTATATTTATATTAGTTAATTATATTAATAAATCTAAAAATAATATTATAATAGATTCAGAAGTTATAAAGTATTATTGTTCAAATAAAGATTGGTTTATAAATTATAAAGAATATAAAGTTCTAAAATATATAAATATAGCTAATAAAGAATCTATATTAATATTAAAGTAAAGGAATATTTCTATTATTATAAATAATAAGAAAATATTTATTTGAATAATAAAGTATATTCTATTATTAAAATCAATTTTAATTAATATTAAACAAATTGTTAAAAAGGGTTGGGCTAGTGAAATACTATTTTCTGGTAATATTTATAAATTTTCGAATAAATTTTTAAATATCAAAACAAATACTAAATGGATTAATAATACTTTCTATCTAGAATGTAATATAAATTATGATTTATTAAATCAAAATAAGAATATTATTTATAATAATAATAAAGATTCTAAAATAGATCAAATAAATGAATCTAAAGAAAAATCAGAATTTAAAAAAGAATCTAATAATATGAATCTAAAAGATTTAAATTTATAGTATAAGTGTTTAAATTATATAAATAAAGATTATATTATAAAAATACTAAATTTAAAAGATTCTAAAATGAATTTAAGTTATTATAAAGTTTGTATATATGGTAAAATAACTCAAAATATTAGTAAATCCTTATCAAATTTGAAATTAAACAAATTTGATAAAATTAGTATTAATATTTGTAGATTATTTAAAATATTAGGATTAAAAGAAGAAAAATATTTTATTACTTTTATAGATTAGGCTATATAAGATATATGAGTGTATTCTATAAAATTTAAATCAAACACTTTTAATATATTAAAAGAAATATTTTATTTGATATATAATCAATTTAATATTAAAATAAAGGTGATTAGATTAGATAATACTAAAGAATTTAATTCTAATTAATGAAATTTATTTGCTAAATCTAAAGGAATTATATTAAAATATATTAGTTTTTATTATTATTCCCAAAATAGAATAGCCAAAAAATTAAATAGATATTTAATAGAAAGAATACTAGTATTTATAAAAAATAAAAATCTATCTATATTCTTATAATCTAATATACTAAAAGAAATAGTTTATATTAAGAATAGATATTATAATAGAATTATAAAAAGCTCACTCTTTAAGTTATTATATAATAAAGAATCTAATATAAAATATATTAGGATTCTAGGATCTCTTATATATATATTAAAACATAAAGAAAAAAGAGATAATAAATTTAATTATAAATCAGAAAAAGGAATTTTAGTAGGATTTGAATCTTCAAAGAATTTATTATTTTATATTTCAAATAGAAATAAGATAATAAGTTCTAATGATTTTATTATTAAAAAAGATATACTATATTATAATAATAATATTAAAAATAATTTTATTAAAAAGGATCTATTAAAAGAATTAAAAGAAAACTCTAATACTAATAATCAAAAAGAAGAAATAGATGTATATAATAATATATATAAAGATTTAAATAAAAATATTGATTCTAAAAATTCTAATATTAATAAAAATAGATTAATAATTGAAATACTATTTAATTCTAATTTGCCTACCCCTATTAAGCAATCTAAATATATACAAAAAATAGAACTATAATTAGATATATATAATCTCATTTATATATTATATATTAAATCAAAGAATCAAAATTATAAATTTAAATTAAATAATATTAATAATAATCAATATAAAAAGAATATATTATTATTATATTTCAATATAAAAACTAACGAAAAAGTAATAATAAAAAAGCTTTATAATAAAAATTTAATAATTCCTGAAATATATTTATAAATTATAAATTCTAATCAAAAAGAATATTAGGAAAAAGCTATGGAATATGAAATAAAGATCTTTAAAAAAATAAAACCTGGAATATTATTATTAAGAATAATAATAATATAAAAGAGCTAAATATTCTAAAGACAAAATGAATTTATAAAATTAAATATTTATTTAATAATAATATTGAATTTAAAGCTAGATATATAGCTAAAGGGTTTGAACAATTATATAGATTAAATTATTTAAACATTTTTGCTAATATAATAAAGCAAATAACCTGGAAATTGGTATTTGTATTAGTAATAAATAAAGGGTAGTATATATATAAAATAGATATGGTTTTAGCTTTTATATAGAAAGATATTAATAAAAATATATATATTAAAGCCCCTAAAATATATTATAATAATAATATAATATTGAAGCTAAATAAAGCTTTATATAAATTAAAATAATTCGCTAGAATTTGGTATATTATATTAAAAAGCATATTAAATAAATTAAATTTTGTTAATATAAAATTAAATGAATATATATTTATAAATAAATATTCAGAATTAATATTAAATATATTTGTTAATAATATTGCTATTATAGATTCTAGCAAAATTCTAATTAAAGATTTTATTAAAAATCTTAAAAACCATTTAGATCTAAAGGATTTAGATTTAATAAAAGATTATTTAGATATTCAAATCAATTTAAATAAAGATTATATTGAATTATATTAAAAAGAATATATAAATAAATATCTAAAAGATTTAAAACTAAAAGATTGTACTTCTATAGCTATATTTATGATTACTAAAAATAATATAAAAATAAATTCTAATAAAACCGATTTAGATAAAATAAAATAAGCTTAAAAAGTAATAGGGAAATTATTATATTTAATATTAGAAATTAAATAGAATATTATTTATTCTATATTAAAATTAGTAAGATATATATCTAATTCTAATAAAAACTATATAATAATTATAAAAAGAATATTTCGATATTTAAAAAAGATTAAAATATTTAAAACTATATATAAAAAAGATAATAATAAATATATCAAAAGATTTTATAATACAAATTATACAGGAAATAAAAGCTCTACTAAATCTATTAATAACTATATATTTATATATATTAATAATTCAATTAGTTGAAAAACTAAATTGTAATTTATTGTAATACAAAATATAATAGAATCTAAGCTAATTGCTATAAATTTAGTTATTAGAAAGACTATATATTTAAAATATATATTATAGGAATTAAATCAATTTAATCAAAATAAATTCCTATTATATATAAATAATATATTAGTAAAAACTATATTAAATAATTCTATATATTATAATAGGAGTAAGTATATTAATACTAAATATTATTATATAAAAGATTTTATAAATAAAGGATATTTGAATCTAATATGGATTTCTATAAAAAATTAATTAGCTAATGGATTAATTAAGTTATTAGAAAGAATCAAATTATTAAGATTTATTGATATAATTCAAAATTTTAATAATTATTATTATTAAAATAAAAATATATATAAAAAATTAGTACTCTTTTTCTCTTTAAAAATAAAAAGGTTTTTAATGAGATTAATATATATATATTTATATATAAATAAAAAGATAATATATATTAAAAGGAACTATTGTTTTAATTAAAAAATAATATAATATATATATCTTTTTAAAGGTATTCAATCTAATATTAGCTTATTATATAATCAGATCATATGATCATCGCTTATAAGCTTATAAAAGCAATTATTAATCCAAAAACAATCATTAATTCGAAAACGGTTATAAAATACGAAAATGGTTGTAAAATAAAGAAAACAAAAAGGGGCTTTATTTCGAAAGAATAAACAGATTAGAAAGAGATCTATAAAAGATTAATAAAAGCGGAAAAGCTAAATTAATAGGAAAAAGCATAAAAAAGAGGTCTTTTTTCTTTTGAATATAAAATAAGAGAGATCACTATTCAATACAGATTCTTTAATATTACGTATTACACTGCTTATATAATCCATTTTAGTCGTTAATCAAAGCCAGCTTTCATATTACATATTATTAGCCTATGACCTACGATATAAAGAAAGTTTATAATTATATATAAACAAATTTCATATATAAACTAAATGATTCATTTAATGATATAATTCATTCGGTAATAAATTACGTTAATTAAAATGTTTATAATTTTTTAAATATTTAAATATTTCTTATTTTTAAATATTGTTTCTCTTTCAAAAAATATTAATTAATTATTAAAATATGAATATTAAGAAAAGGTTAATTTTAGTGTGATTTTGAAGTGATTCATTCGGTGATATGATCTACTCGCATATGAATCACGTTATCTAGATCCCCTTTCTAATAGGAAATTCTCTTGCTGGAGTTTTCATCATTTTTGGCGACCTCCAAAAAATCGTCTCAATGATCACCTCAAGTAACAGGCGGCAGCGCAGCAAACACGCGCAAATTAAATAGGCAGCAGGTTGAATTTGTAGCCAGAGTAGTGATTCTCCTCTCACATATGTAAGATCTGGCAGGTGCTGTATCCGCAAGAATACCGAGAGTCGAACTGCGCAGATTACCATACCACTGCGCGCCGAGAGCGTTAGTGTTTATATCTAACAAAGGGAATTCAAGGAACTTATAATCCTCCAATAATGAATTCTACGGCAGACTCCATCTTGGCCCCCAAAGGAACATTGAGTTTCCATTCCACCGGGACAGGAATCAAAAATATCAAAATATCGGTCACGATACTGGGTACTGTTGCTCAGGTCAGCACAGTCGTATTATCGATACACTGATGAGATTTTCTCGGTCCGGTTTTATATGTATCGGAGCGTGGTACGCGTTGCAAAATCGCTATTGCTTCGAGAACGATGATGAACGCGTACGCTGCATATGTTGCGCCTCTTATTGCGTGTTTCGCTCGTTTGGATATGATGAATAGTCGTTTGTAGAGGAAGAGAATGGCTAGTTTGAGGATGCTAATAGCGATAATTTTTATGATATCGATGGCGTATAGAACCTCAAGTCCGATGATTAGTTTGGCGGGTTAGATCCAGAGGAGATAGTGACCCATGTCAGCGAGATATACCGCAGCTGTGGAGGATGTGAGTGAATTGCATGCTTAGAAATGACTGCAATGGTACCACGCACCTAGACATAATGCAGCTAGAGATAGATTGAGAAATAATAATACAATGATAAGATGGTCATTTAACCCCCAGATTGACGGAACCTTTCTAAGTAGTCGTGAAAGAAATCGGGCTGTCACAAAAACGATTTGGAGAGAAGATAATATGATGGAGTATGAGACGATGGCCATGCTTGAGGATTCTGGATTCATCACATCGGCTATCGGCTGTTCTGTAGGATCTAGAGAGTACGTGGCCATGGGTTTGTTCTTTGAATTTGTCCTCGAAGGGAAGGCAAGTCAGAGTTATGTGCGAAATTTGGAGAAGGAAGTGTAAACTGTGGCATAAGGAAGATAGAAGCCTAGGTTAGCGTTCATGTCACATTCACTAACCTTGTTTCCGGTTGCGGAGCTCGTGCTCACTTGCTGTGGAAGTGAATCATAAACTTGGGACGATATCATTCAGAAAAATGAAAGCTGGCCGTCTATTCACCAACTTCTTAGCAAAAGTGCAATGTGAAACTATAGTTTTGATTTCCCCAGAGCAGGTATTTGAAAATGTTTATACTCTCTATTCACACCTGCAATGAAGTGCTGGAAAGGAATAGACTCTTCATACCACTTCAACATCGGTGTAATCTTAGATAAAAACCATGGATAACATCCAATCAATTAAATCGTGTATCGGGTGGTGTTGGCGTATTCTCACGTTCTGCAAACCGAACACCTTAAGATCCTAGAAACACGTTGCAACATTCTTCCTCGAAGATAATGCAATTTATCTCGAGGATTAGGAAAGAATCCTCGAGCATCTATCTGATTGTCAAATTCGTTGTTCATTGCAATAGTGAAATAAAAGAGCCAAATGACATTTGACCTTGCGAACTTCCTCATGCGACATGAGACCACAAGAAGAGATTGGAGTATACAAGAATAATATTCAGATGCTTTGCATCAGGTTCTAAAGTATACAAAATAGTGAGTTTGACTCATAAAGATCTGTTATGCTCAATCTTGCCGAGCATCGATTCGTGGGAGGTGAAAATATACCAGAATTATATGCACCCCATGGAACCGCTTGTTGGCCATAAATCCGTACAATCAAAGAAGTTAATACGGATGGATAGATTTGAAGCTTGATGTTGGAGCTTTTGCCTACTTGAATGCAAGTTTGGTCGTGTTGAACGGGCTCCCTTGGCACATGCCGTAAAGGTGTATCAGCACCTGCCGATACCCTGGACGAGTTTATAGATAAGGAGGTCACAGTAGACGAGGTCGGTTGGTGTGAGACGGCAAGGAATTGCGCCTGGTTTTGTAGATGGTATTATTCTGAAATTTATTCGGGCTTCTCGGGTATTTCGAATTCGTTTCTGCTCATGTAGCCCCAGCGGGCCGAGCAATTCCAGTTAAATTAACGACTCCTCCACTTGTATATCCACCGCCGTCACCAGTGACCCAGCCCGGTACTTCATTACCATGTCCATCTTTCTCAGCTCTATCTTTGATAACTTCCCAAACTGGTGGGAACCCTGCATTCAATGGTCCACCCCTCTGTTTCGCCCCCAAAATCGCAAACTTGCCCTGTATATGACTAATAAACCCCCTCAGTAGTCCTTGTTGTACTAAACTTGCAACAATTGCTTCGACATCCAACATTTCTGGCATTTTGCCTCCCCAAATTACCCCATCGTTTGGTGAAAGTTTCACCACGCCTGGAGGCTTCACCAAGTCTTGTGCTGTTATAAACATTGTATTCGTGTGTGTGCGACCCGACTGCATAAACGCGGCAGAATCAGCAGGCCTCTGCCAGCTCTCAAGGACTTTCTGGCAATACTGCGCAGCTGTGACTAAATCGGCAAGATTTAGAGTCGGTGCTTTCTTTGAATTGGGGTCGAACGGCCACTGGTATGTTAAACATAAAACGCGTCGTGCAAGTGAACGCCATACATATGTTTCGCAACGATACAATAATGGCAGAAGAATTCCCTTGTCGAACAGCCATTTTTCATTCCCACCCTGTGGACCCAATGAACGCTTGAAAGCAGCCAAATTCCCCAATTTGATGGCCTTGACAATTGGCGTAAACCTTTCAAGGACCCCAGCAGCTTCGGGACGCGACATAAAAGGCCGAGATGGAAATCGACCGAGTATCATGTTTGATGATATCAAGTAGATTAGAATCAGGCGTCGCTGGTTGATGCACTGTGCATGACATTGGTCGTAAGCAGCTTGAAGACTGCACTGCGCGAGGTAGAAGTGGGTATTCGAGAAGAAGTATCGGCCGAGATAATAAAGATATGTTACCCTTTGACTTGCGGGATAAAGCTCCAATGGTGGAGAGTGCTGGGTAATATTCGTGATGAGTTGATTCGCCAATCGCGTTTTCCGGCACTACTTGACCATTCAGCATTATTCCATGGATCGATTGAAGGCCACCATACTTGAAAGAAAAGTTTCAAAGCCAGATTTGCGAATGAGTATATTCCAACTTTCTTTCCCTCTGGCTTTCCGTCTGACCCAACCCCGTTTCTATTCGTAGTTCTTTCCGTCAAACAAACTGTAAAAGCACGCTGTATTGTTTCTGCAGTTCCTTCTACTAAAGTCTTTCGCGTCTCTCCAGCATCGACATCGGCAACTCTTCGCAGTCTTCTGGTGAGATCCGGTCTCTTGTCGAGTGTCATTGCAAGTTTCGCGAGGGCAGTAGATAATTGAATGGCCGTCGGGAGTATCACTATCCCATATGTCGGATTGGATAAAGCTGCAAGACAAGTACTATTCGCATCTCATCAGTATGGTGGCTGAAGATAAAAGAGCTCATTTACCTTGCTAAAACGGTGAGCTGTGAGTGCGTTTCCAACAAATCCTCGAAATTGACATCCCTCCAGAACTCCAGGTAGTCTTTCATGAAAGCCAAAAAGCCCGGCCAAACATTACCATCCTCATAACTTGCGTTGGGGTCGTCTGGCAGGAGTTTCGCGATGTGGCGCTCGAGTGCAGTGCTGTTTTGGAATGACGCTTTCAATTCTCGACCAAGCTGGAAATAATGATCAGGAAGAGGAGGTTCAACTCGAAGCCATAACTGTAAGCTTATCCCATCCTTTGCCCTGAGAAATTTCAGGATAGACTCGAGGAACTCTTCGAGGATAGCCATGACTTGAGAATTCGATATCACGGATAGAGGTAATGAGCGGTGATTATGATATGTGTCACGCAAATTTGCCGGCTATATCATTTACACCGACGTCGCATTCATTTCGAATCAAACGGCAATCCTAAACAATTATGGGAGGTTTAAATAATATATAGTTGAAGCAATTATCATCGATGTTTTGATGCAGTCTTAGTTCAAGGCTGTGATGAGCTGTAGCCAACCGTAGACCACAATGCTAGTCTTGCATAAACTAGCGGCCGCATTAATTGATCAGCCTCGTGTAAAGTGGCGGTGCGTTGTGGCTCTTTTCCTTCCATTGGGTATATCTTCAGACATTAACGACACACATCAACTGAGCTCATGGTCATTGATACACCGTTGAAAATGTCTGAATATTCATATTTATTCGGATACTTCAAGAAATTTGGGCAAGTCATATCAGCAGACCTGAAATGACCACTTCTGCTAAAGTAGGGCAATGCTACTCACATCAAACAATAGATCGTTGGACGTCTAACGAAAAGTGTTTAGATCTTCTGTATATACTGCATCAACTCTTCTCGATGTCTTACCACGAGCGAATACTAAGCATCACACAATGTCCATGTGCGAAGGAAAGCGTGTGGTACGCGGTCACCCCGTACATTCACCAATAGTATGCATCTTGCTCCAGCGTCGTAGTACGACTAGGCAGCAGATATACATTGTCCAGAAGAACAGATCAATTGTTCTCAAGTATAACATACACGATGCCCCACGTTTCAAGTAATTTTTGATCAGCAATTGGGTTGAGGACTAAAAATCCTTACAGGCGCTTGCCCTTCGAGCTTTATTCAGCATCATGGTGTGCATGCTATGGCTCGCTCTTCGTCCAACTGGCATGCCTATCTTCGACCAATTTTCCTTTTCATTTGTGTTCATAATTTCGTTATTGAGCAAGTTGGGTCACTGGGTGGCTTATCCTTTTAAAGTCACCAAAGCAAATATCGTTGTGGTTTGAACATTTATTCACAAGCACCTATCTGTCTTCCAAAGGTTAAAAAGCATCCTTTCCGGTCCACTTTGTTCTTTCCCTATTATTAAACTCAGCCTACCATGCAATCGGGATCTGCTCTCATGGGACTTCCACTCGAGGTGCGGGTAATGATTTGGAAATTCTGCCTTGGTGGAAGAACATATGATATGATGCCTCGCAGCAATTTCCATAATAGCTACATAGCTTGCAATATTCACATGTATGTGATCGACCATATGTGCAGACTTGAATTTCCCAAATTTTGACGCCAGTTGTATTTTTCAGAAGAACAGGATTGCAAAAGGGAAGACTTCAAGATTGCGGTTTTGAGATCGTATGCCATGGATTGCTTTACCTTTTAATGACTTGCAGTCAAACGTACAAGCATCGAATCGCTTGTGTTGATCAGCGCTAATTCTCTCAGTTATGTTGAATATATTGAGATGTCACATACTCACAATCTGTGTTGGGTGGAGCAGAATGATCTGATGGATGTATCTCTTGTGTTGAAGCAAATACTTCACAGTATTACTGCCATGTGCGGGGAATGTCTGTGTCCAAATTATCGCACATCTCTGGCTGTATCAGCCGACGGAACATAAAACTATCGCTACTACATGCAATGGATCGATACAGGGAACATAATATCTACCATGAGGAATCTCGAATACTTGTACTTTGAGCTACGTTCATTGCACGCAACAGAAGGTTGGAATGAGGTCCATGAAGCAAAATTCTTGGAATTAATTACAAAGGCATTTGTTGTTCGCTTTCCTCTCTTCTCTGAGCAAAGGTCTTCCACAATGTGGCAGAGGCTACCCTGCCATCTTCTCTGCGGTAATCTAGAGTACGTTTCAAATTCAAAAACAGTCATCCGATTCAAGGCGCGAAATCTACACGTCGAGGATTGGGTTTACAAATTCGATTCGAGGATTCGACGTTGCAATGTTCAGAAGACAAATGCAATCATAGGATCTCCAATGCTCGAAATTACGATGCAACGATTTCATGGTTCAAATCTAGGGAGAAATCAGCTTTCAATATCTTTAGATTTCTTGATAATATAGAAGTCAATTGATTGATTGTGCTAATCCCGAAGTATTTAAAAGGAATTCAGATGCTGAACTCGCCTGCGCTTACTTTTTCGGGAAAATACTTCAATCTCATGCTTACACTCCGCCAGAAATGCATCTAGAGCTTCCCGCCCAACATCTATGACGCATCAGCTCTAAACTTTCAAACGCTTCATACTATCCACAACTTACTTCCGGCGCCACCAGCAAGTACGATTCTTACCATTTTGAAGGTACAGTTTTAGTGAATGGTCAACCCATCTGAGCGTCGTCTTCAATGCCCACATATACTTTTCAACAAGTGGATCCATGACGTTTTGTGGGGTGCAGATTGTCATTGCCAGTCACCGGAGATGAGATGGTCACGTGTATAAGATTAACACGTGCTGCTGAAATATCATTCCACGTGGTTTCATACAATAATCCTCATTGTCTCTGATAAGGTTCCATCCACTTCTGCAATTCGGATTCTCTAGATGATTGATGCTGAGTAGAATCAAGGAATTGAGTATTTTGATCTCAGCAACCACTTTGGCACCCGTAGCCGTGCCGCAAATGCCAAGTTTAGCGATGCCGTATTGAGACTCCTACATCAGCGCTTATTAGTTCAAAACTCCTATGATAAACTTTACTTCACACATCCATCGGCACGCTCTTACCCAATGAAGAAAAGCAAAATGAATAAATCGAAAAGAATTTGTGATACTTTCGAGACAATCATCTACTGTCCTGTCTTCATGGCGCTAATTTGCATCCAAATCGTGAAAGGGTGTTTGCCTCGGAAAAAGCCCACACCGATAGCTCCCCCTGACCCTCTTAAGACTAGATCGAATAGCAGCGTTCTTACGTTGCCTTTCCCACGAGGGATCGCCGGGCAAGAACGTAAAACAAATGCTCAATCCCAAAGTTTACTTTTATCATCATTGCCAACTGAAATTCGAATGTTGATATGGCAAGTCTGCATTGGAGGGAATACTTTCCATCTCAATCCTGTTCGTTTCGGCCGTCGAGAGCGTCATACTCGCTTCAAACATCAATTGTGCCTCGGTGAGAATCCAGAACTTGCTTGGCAAAGACACAACCATTGTCACAGTAAGATCAGGCCATACTGGTATACACCCAAAGTTAAAGCGTTTTGTTTGATTGTGACCTGCCGACAGATGTAAGTCTAAAAGAAAATGCAATGGGTATTGTTATCTAATATGGCTAGATATTCGGAGACTATCGATATTCTTTATTCAACCAATGCCTTTCATACCGTTGATTTCTGCACGCGACATCTACAAAAGACTCTCCTCCCTCGGCGCTTGAATTGCATACGCGTGTTGTATCTCGAGATTCACACTAGGGTCACAGAAGCATTTGTCGAAGATCCCAAGCATCGAAACAAGACTCTAAAAGAGTGGACAGATACTTGGAAAGCTTTAGCAAGTCTACCAGGACTGCAAATCCTTCGCGTAGAACTCCATCATTGGTCTCGAGAGTGGTGGATGATGCTCACAGACGATCAAAAATCTCTCTTTCTACAACCAGTTTTCAGCGTAACACAACCTCATATATTCGACATATACCTACCATTCCCGCTACCTCCTGAAGATAGTATTTGGGGCGCACTCCCTTTCTTGCAGCATATTCAAACTCCCATATCCTATGATTACCTAATGTCATGGATGCACTAGCGTAGTTAGTTATGGATGCTTAGTTATCAGTGCTCTTATATATCACACTTCTAGGACGCCTTTCTTCTCTCAATCTAAAGAAGCGAGGCTTTCTGGAGGAGAGTCTCTAAGGTTTCATGTGAGACACGTGGAAATGATTGGTATCAGGCTTAGCATCAAGCCTACACTAGGCCCAGTCCCGGGAGGGACTATTTCTACCCCCGCTAAAGTTGGAAGTGGGTAGCGGGGTGGGGCGTGATAAGGAGACGGCTTGTAGGTAGGCCTGCGACCAGGTACCTAGACCAAATCAATCATCAATAACTATTTGATTGTGATGTCGATTTTCAATTGAGTTTTGATGCCCCATAACCTCGATCATGAGAACTCACACTTAAACTCTCTATGACACCTGGCTTTTCCGCAGCCGAAGTAAAAGTGGATAGTAAAAGTGGATAAAAAAGGTACTTATAGTCACGTCAGAAAAAACTTTATTACTTTCCGTCTAGAAATCAAGTGAATAAGATATTACCGGGCAAATCTTCTTCTAAAACGTTCTAGTGCAGGCTCTGACATCTACATATGTAATTGAGATATATGGTATGCCACTGGATGTATCTAGCCGGATTTCGGTAGCGGAAGTATATAACCGATCTCTACACAACATGATTCGGTTGCAAATGCTTAAATTATGGAACCAACCCAGCTCTCGCTTCTGTAACAATTCCAATCGTCATTCTGTGTTTAGTGATCATCGTCTTGTTTCCCTATTTCGGGTAGATTCAAATGTGATGGCAGGACTCCACTACCCCGCAACCTTCCCCCGCATCATCCGATTGCCCTCAGAACTGAGTTTCATCTCGGTACTGAATAACACCAAGCTATCCCAGATTCAGTTCTAGCTTTTTCAAATTCCATTGAAAGATGGACCAAAATCCCTTGGAAGGCGTCCACCTTGTGAGTTCTTTCAATCACATACACCAATCGGCTTTCCCAAGTTTTATTCAATTTGGTATAGCTCAGAGCGAGATGATTGAGCTTGTACGGTTTCTGTTTGTTGACTGGTATCAATTCTATTTTGAATGAGCATGCAGAAAAAAAGCTGATAATATCCGCTGTAAGTGGTAGACGTCACAAGTAGCAAAGTGGGATGACCCAAGAATTATATATAGAGTCCCCCGCTTCCACCTACGTATTGGTGTCTCCAGTCTCTGCTCATATCTTATATCCAATACTATAATGGTGTATATTAATGCTTTCTCTAGAATAGTGGCGACACTTGTGCTCTCCATCCAAGCTGTCAGCTCGAGACCACATTGGCAGTCAAAATCAGATGTAGACTTGAGTATCTCCACAACGAGTGGCCATCGTAAGCGTTCATTGACACTTATTTCAAAACAACATTGACACATCCTAGTTCAAGGAATTATCAACGGAACCACGCCCAATGTTCGTCAATTCCTAGGCGTACCCTTCGCTCAACCTCCCACCGGCAACTTACGCTGGATGCCACCGAATGCACTACCATCCAACCAGTCGTCTGCGATTGTTGATGCAACGAAATTTTCGTTAAATTGTCCACAATACGAAAGTGCAATTCCTTCCATCTATAACACCTTCGTCCGAGAATTCTTCATCTGGGGACCAAGCGGCGAAGACTGTCTCACTTTGAGTATCTGGGCACCACTTCACTCTCAATCAGAAGATAAGCTACCAGTTCTAATATTCCTCTACGGTGGTGGACTTTCAACTGGAGGGTCTTCAGTACCTTATCAGAATCCTGCGAAATGGGTTGAAAGGACACAGTCTCATATCGTGGTTAGTATTCAATATCGGTTGAACATCTTCGGATTTCCAAATGCACCTGGTCTTGAATCTCAAAATCTCGGTTATCTCGATCAGCGGGCGGGAGTAGAATGGCTTCAAAAGAACATCGCTGCATTTGGCGGAGATCCCAATCAGATGGTTCTATGGGGACAATCAGCTGGAGCAGGATCAACAGATGCATACAACTATGCCTATCCGGATGATCCCATCGTGAAAGGTTTCATATGTGACTCAGGCATTTCACTTACATCCACGCCGATAAACGATCCTGCTTACTTGAATTTCACATTTGTGGCTTCTCATTTTAACTGTACTGGTTCCGAACTCCTCTCATGCATGCGTCAAGTTGCAGCCGACGATATCGAGGCTTTTCTCAAGTCTTACAATGATGCTCTTACCACCCCTACTTTGTCGTTCAACATCGTTCAAGATGACAAGATTGTCTTCCAAAATTACACGCAGCGACTCATGAATAACCAAGTTTCTCCCCTTCCCGTGGTTTATGGGTTTAATGACAACGATACTATGTCTCTCGACGCATTCCCAGCAGATCCATTGACCGAATCGGCTAATCGCACCCTAGCTTCCATCAACCAAATTCGTCGCTACATCTGTCCAAACTCGGCTGCATCATACTATCGAACTCAACTCGGTCTTAAAACCTATCGTTTTCAATACCGAGGAAATTTCTCTAATGTCGCACCATTAGCATGGGCAGGCGCATATCATTCTGGCGAGCTCCCTATGATTTTTGGAACTTCGGAGGACTTTCGGGGCAAGAACACAGAGTTGGAGTGGGAAACGAGTAGAGCGATGCAGGATGCTTGGCTAGCATTCGCAAGAAAGCCTGATGGAGGATTGGAGGAATTGGGATGGGGAAATAGTAGTGGTCAGATGGTGCAGGTTTTTGGAGGGAGAAGTACATATGACGATACCGGGGAGAATGTTGCGAAACAGTTTATAAGTCTGGAGGAATTAGCGGAGAGTTGTAGTGTCAAGTAAATACTGGGAGAAATGGGTAAATGTTGAATGAAAGATGGATTATACATGGTCGAATAGAAATTCATAATGAGTATTCGGGACATTTGGATAGATAGAAAATACAAAAATGCCACTTGATGAGACTATACACAAATAATTATTATTTCTAAGGATGCCATCATTCTTTCGCTGAATGGACGATCTATTTGAGGAGGTTGATTGCCCTCGCATGGCTGAGTCATGATGTGACCAATTGAACAGTCGAAGACCCATGAAATCAAGTCTCCCCGGAACATTCAGTCGGATAAGAAGCTTACTAACCTATTCAGAATGCCAGTTCATCATTTCATCGACCCGCAATATCATACACAGAATGGATTTGATCATACTCAGTTCTTTCCATACCCACCTCTCCATTATAATACGCTCTTAAATTTGCCAAGATGGACGGTCGAGATTGCGAGATGGCAAAAGATAGTCCATCAAGCTCGTCTTCATTGTATTCAGGCAGCAAGATTAAAGAAAATTCGACAGGTCGGATTGAGACAGAGGAGGGACCCAATACACCTGGTTCGAAGCCCAAAGATACAGAAGCCCATGGATCAAGCTCTTCTCGGGATCATTCTTTCGATCACGTTCTGGATGAACTACCTTGGAGCAATACCATGCCGCCATCAAAGCTGTGTGCCGTTTGTCAGAACATGGTTGATGAATTGGGACGCGGTGATTGGCTTAAACGATCAAAAGAAAATAACTACTTATTTTATGATACGGGAATACCTCATGTACGGAATCCACTAAGCATAAAAACCTTGGCGCAAAATGGTTGCTCTTTTTGTGCCACATTCAATCGCACAGATAAGGAAGAGGAGTTTGAGGCAGAGATCTCAGCATACATTGATAAGTGGAGGGTCGAATTCGGCGAAGCCCCGTTAGCGCCTTCGCGTGTATACATGGGAATTCCTGCTGGTAGAAACCGCGGTCTGTGGCGGGTTAGTTTGGTCTTTCCAAGTGGTCCTCGCTGGAAACATCACAATTCTAAAATTGAATTCAGGGCGTTTGTAAAAAGATCGCCCGAAATATGTAAGTTGATCATTAAGACATAATTGGGTACTTTTCAATCACATGATAATACAGTACAAAACTTATCAAGACTATACCAGGTGTAGTTACTGCAAGGAGTTTTCATTTGTCTACTTGAAAGCTAGTGAGGTGGCATAGTGCTTGGATTTCCGTTCTCGGTGACTTTATTAAAGAGAGATACTATGAATATGTATGTTCTAGAGTGTATATTTGGGTGCTTGAAGACGGCTTGAACTAATTCGAGCTTCTACAGATAATCAAGTTTTTGAAAATCTTGATGCAACCTCGAATACAAAACAATCAATTCCACTAACTAAAGAGTGGTTGAATGCATGTCAGAGATTGCATCCAAATTGTAGAGTACAGAGGTCAAAGTTCATACCAACAAGGCTCCTATATCTTCAAGGACAACATCTGAAACTTTGTTTGGGAAGTCTAATAGAGGGAGATAATTTTCAATATGCTACTTTGAGTCACTGTTGGGGGACCCCAGAGAAGAAATATCCGACACTAACGAAATCAACCCTAGGAAGTTTCCTCTCGGAATTAAAGATGAAGGAGCTTCCAAAGACGTTTTGTGATGCCATTGAACTTTGTATGGAGTTGAACATTGTCTATATTTGGATTGACTCACTCTGCATTATACAAGATGATGAAGAAGACTGGATGAGAGAGTCTGTCACTATGGCCGATATCTATGGCAGGTGCTTCCTGAATATTGCAGCATCTAGTGCTATTGATGGCAGTCAAGGATGTTTTTTTAGCAGAAGAGATTCCCCAAGATGTCGCATCTCTCTAAGATTCGGTGGAGATATCCACGCGTTGTATCATTGTACACCGATAACGAAGCATCCTTTGGATTCTCATAGGGTTTGCCCGTTAGAAAGTCGAGGATGGACCTTACAAGAGCGTCTTCTCTCGCCACGAACTGTGCACTTTACACGAGAGGAAGTATTTTGGGAGTGCCATACCAAGTTTGTTTCAGAAAGCTCGCCTTTTTGCTCTATTGAAACAGAAAGTCTAAGAAAATACAAGCTTTCGATTCGGAGCTGGAACAAGATTGTTAGAAATTACTCAGGCCGTCATTTAACTTACGCAAAGGATAGACTGATTGCACTGGCCGGACTTGCAGAGGAAATAAAGCAAGAGACGAAAAGTGAATACTTCGCGGGAATGTGGTATAACAATTTACTAGCGCAACTATGCTGGTCTGTCGTTGGGCATGACGTATACCAAAGAATCTCACCTCAACGAGCTCCAACATGGTCCTGGGCATCTGTACCATCGCAGGTCAGAACCCTACCATGGCGTGACACTGACAAATTTGCGTTATGCAAAGTTTTGAGAGTCGAGAAATCGGCGTCTAAACATCAATCTGGCGATATGCCGGATGGATCACTCTGGTTATCATGCCCTCCACTCTTACTCGCCCAGATTATCCAACCAAGAACCATGAGCATGGGCGGCTTATCCATCACCCATGTTTGGTTTAAAATTGACTGTGTGGAAGACACTGTGCGTGTCAATATCTACATATTGCGACTTTTAAAAAACTACTGTTTAATATTGAGAAGTGTCGAAAAATCGCAAGGAGTTTATATAAGAATAGGCTTTTTAGTATTCTACGAGTGTAGTCTATTGAGTTACGACAACCCAATAAATTACGCAGAAGACAGTGCCTACATTCCGAGGGAGAAACACCGTCTTGACACTGATGAACATGTTATAAGTTTAGTGTGATCATCGACCACAAACTTGATGATTATTAAGGAAGAAGGTCTACTTGGTCTAGAAAGCAGCGTTATGTAACTGAATGCAGGAACAGGCTACGGAGACATGATGTATCACAGATAATCGGGTCGGATAAGTCAAAATTGGCGAACAGGGATATGATTCGTTTGGAACAGACCTCGATAGTGATGGCATTCATCTTGCTGATAGTATTTTCTGGAGATCGGTTACTTCAGGAAGGTAATTTTAACTTGTCTCGTACCACTATACAGAGTGTCCACATTCAACATTTTGGATAGCTCGTGTGGCGTTGATGACCTCGTGGTTAATAGTTTGTTATTATTCCAAGCAAATTTCAAGGCAATGTTATGACATGTGATGATTTCTGGTAAAATCTAAAGGTAGACAAGTTCTTATGAAGAAATCCTCTTGATTTACAAGAAGTATGTGTGTGGGTTGTTACACAATAGGAGTAGAAAGTTTCCGAATCGGGATGAAAGGCCCCCTTTGCCGCAAGAATCTAGAACTTTGAGAAAATTTCCGGCGCGAACCATGGAAGAAATCTTACCGTTGACACTCATCAAACACTATCAGCTACAATTATTAAGATAGCAGCCTAGTATAACACTGGGATCTCAGCTCTCGATTAAGCGGACCCCTTAATTGAGTAACTATTCACACTTGCAAAACGACTGGGAATATAAAATATAGAATTCGGACGAACTTAATTTTCGCAACTTTTCATCTGTCGGGAGCTCAATCTCACGGTAAATCATAACAGAACCTCGACTTGGTCTAAAAAAAATCCTCAATATCTTCAACTGAAATTGCGACATATCAAGCAAACACCAGAACATACAATCCGCCCCGCCGTTCCGAAATGCCGGCTTAAGATGAAACCTGCACAACAATGACCGTCTTGGCAACAACCTCAACGATATTTCTATATTAACATTATATTAAAACATCCCACTTAATCTATTATCCCCGGATTTAGGAGAATTCGCACGAATCCTTTTAGGGCATTTGTATTGAATGTTGAATTTAGCCCCCACTACCCCGGATTTTCATTAATATATCAGAATCTGTCAGTAATTCTTCGACGATCACAAGGTTCAACCGATACTACCACACTACAAGCCAAGAAATCTTCATCACTCACTCCTGATTGAACCTATACATCAATCTAATATATAATTCCCTCAAATTCTCTCATCTGCTCATTTTCTCTCCAACTCCCTCACTCATCTCAAACCTTCCAATTACTCTCCCTTACGCTACATCATCATGCATCTCTTTTCTACTATCTTCCCCGTTCTTTCCCTTATCCCCGCCGTCCTCTCTCATGGCTATGTCTCCGGAATTGTAGCAAACGGTGTCTACACTTCCGGCTGGCAAATCTCCTACTGGTACGACATTGTGAACAAGGTTCCTTATCCACAAACCCCTGGATGGTACGAAGAGGCGTTAGATCTAGGTTTTGTTGCACCTGATCAGTATTCGTATGTTTCCCTCCCTTTTTCTCTCTAACCCTGCTTGCTCGTTTCTATTTTGGCAAAGGGAGAAGACAGGGGCTAATTCGGACATGATGAAGGACTTCCGATATTATATGCCATAAAAATGCAGTAAATGCAAATGTATCCGCTACTGTTGCTGCAGGAGGAACAGTACAATTCCAATGGACTACCTGGCCGCATAACATTGGGCCAGTGTTGACCTATGTGGCCAACTGTGGGGGAAGTTGCTCTACTGTATGTTACTTTTTTTTTCAACCTATTTTCTGCTTAAAATATCATGTTCTACTTGGAGCATCAATGTCTATGATTGGAAGTAATAAAAGAACAGATGACTGATAAATAGTAGGTCAACAAAGCCAATCTCAAATGGGTAAAGATCGATCAATCAGGTATCAATTTCAGCACCCAAGTCTGGGCCACAGGAGCTTTGATGGCAAACAATAATACCTGGACTACCACTGTACCAAAAACACTTGCTGCTGGTATGTGAACCAACTATTCTCCCCCTCTCCCCCTCACTCTTAATGACTCTCCAACTAACACCCCTGCAGGCCACTACGTATTTCGCCACGAAATCATCGCGCTCCACGGTGCCACAACAGTCAATGGCGCACAAAACTATCCTTTCTGCGTTAACATTGATGTAACGGGCTCTGGAACAGCGAACCCTGCGGGCGTGGCTGCGACAAGCTTCTACAAGGCAACAGATCCGGGAATTTTGTTCAATCCGTATGTAACGTTGAGCAGTTATACCATTCCAGGACCGGCTTTATGGACTGGTTAAGTTTTGAAGGATGGATATGAATTGTGGAGAACGGGGAAGGGGAATGGGTTTTGGATGAGGTGATGCGTGTGGAATGTGATGTGAGTTTGACAAGTGGTTTTGGATTTGATGAGCCGTTAGAGGGGTGAGGCAAGACTGTTAGTTCGAGGAAGAGGACTGAATTGGATGTTTGTGTTTGTAAATATCTTGACCATCCAATTGAACTTGTATATACGCGAGTAGATCATGCTGATGATATGAGACATACTACTTAGGAGTTGTTGTTTTATCTGCAAAAAATGCAATAAAGAATCTCTTCGAGAGTAACCCTCTTTCGCAAAGTTGAGATATTGATATAAACAAAGCAATCTACGCCTAATTAGTTCAGAATGACATCCAAAATAATTCTGTTGACATGGGATATCATACTAAAATTTGACATGAGCAACTCTATGCTTGATAACCAAATTTAACTCTCTTTTCATGCCAACTAGCATCGTAGGTTCTCTCGAGTCTTCATTTCCAACTTTCCAAACCCACGTAGGGGTACTAGGTGTCGTGCCACTGGTTTCCTCCTCTCCCATCCGTATACCCTGTACAGATTCCCCATTCTCCCCAGTGATCATTTTGTTCAACAAGGATATCCATTTATCATGATTTTGTACAAAGGATGAAGTGAAAAATTTGCCATACTCGCATTCGACCTTCAAATTGATTAATCTTTCGAACTTCGGCAACGAGTGTGTGAGAAATATTTCGAATCCGCCATGTTCGTAGGAGAACATCTTTCGAAGTGTTAGATGACGGAGAGAAGAATAAATAAGAGACATCTGGGTTGGGATCTGTGATAATGGGGTGAAATTGGAACTGAGAGCTGTATTAGTCGCCAATTCTATGGTACAAATGAAAATCGACAATCTGTGGCTTTGAGTGTTTGTAAAACAATTCAACATTCGCAGGGTAGGCAATTATCCGAAGTGATGAATGGTCAATTTATCTCGAGAACTGAGAGCTTTTGATTGTCCACCTACATTATGGATTATCAAAGGAAAATTTCGGGAAAACTCACGGTATTATCAAAAGTAATTCTCGAAACATCCCACATACTTCTGGGTCCGCGAACTTGAGAGTTTTTACAATATTATATGTGAATTGGTTGATAGAATGGAAAGTAGTCTTTGCTTCAATATACAGATGCTGTGCGCCGTATATCTTTAGGGCTCTGAGAAAGACGGGTGTCTTAGATGCGGATTTCTTTTTCCTCTCAAGAGGCCTGAGAAGAGTATACTCATACATCATTTCTCGAATCTCAACAGGAAGGGCATTAAATTTGAATTTTGTATTATGAATTCGCGAGGTCGGGATAGATTCAAGCTCTTGACGATCTCGAAGAGTCAACAGTTCCGACGTCCATGCTTTTTTAGTCCAAAGAGTGTTAAATCTGGATACTTCATTGAGGTGACCAAATCGACTGAGAGCTTCGACAGGACGGAGAGTGATTTGGACTTGGGGCTGATGAGCTTCGTTCTCAGTCGGACTGTCATCGTTGTCAAAAAATCTTGTGTGAATGGAATAAACCCCCGTTTGGTGAGTTTTAGTGACCACATTTTCCGAAGAATTGTCAATGGTACCAAATGTGTGAAGAGCTGGGATAGTTGATAGGAGATGTGTCGTTTTGACACTGTTTGTAGAGTTGCGGTTCATTGCTGTTGGCGTTTTATGGTCAGAAGAATCACAGTGAGCTGCCATTATTGAAGAACTCCGGCCTGTCTGAGATGAGCTATTTTTGTATAAAGTAATTTGCAAAGATATCGGCTTCTTCTAGATTTGATCTGAAAAGTAACAATTGAATTCTGAGATAAAAAGAGGGAAACATTAGATGTGTGGAATGTGGGGATTCGATTGTTCTTGTAGATGGAAGAATTGTTATGTACTCGATTTTTCAACAACTAATGCTCATTTGTAGAGGAATTTTAAAAGGTTCTGTGTGAAATGACAGCACCTTTACCTAGTGGTTGAATTAAACCAAAGAGCTCATATAGCCGGACAATCTTAGCTTCCAAGCCTAGTCGTCCTAGAACGTTTCAATCCCAGCTTATTGGCGACATTAAGGTTTGGTATCTTGCCGAAGATGAAGCGTGAAGTGCTGCAATTCAGACTTTCAGAAAGTCTTCAAATCAAGAGATCTCTTTGTCAGTCTTCGGGTCACTCATATGTGCCTCAGTCTTGATTTTATCGTGCCAGGTCGGATTACCGTCGTCATCAAATTCAGCCCATTCAAAGTATGTGCAACCTTCTTTTCCGGGAACATTTCCCGCATGGCACATCCAGAAGTATCGGCCCAAATTCTCCTTCTTCCTTTGTACAACTCTTAATACTGTCGGTACACCACATTTGCATTTTGGCGTAAATTTAGGATGTAATGACGCTTTGTAATCTCGGTAGGTAATATTGATTCGTCGATTCCCAGAAATTGGATGAGGATCAATGGCTTGTGCTGGTGCGATACTATGTTTCCAAGTTTCTTGCATTTCGGCATGCATTATTAACAAAGAGTTATGTGGTAGGTGAATGGCTATTTGACCTTCAGCATCTGAAGACTCTTTACTTTTCTCTTTCGAGTCTGACTCTTGGGCGACTATTTTTCGGACACGAAATTCACGTGCCACACCCAAAGATATCGATCCGATGACAGCTCGTGGTCCAAGGTAAGTGAGCTGGTCACTATGATATCCTACACTCTCTGCGCCACCGTTATAGCAGTTGACAAAAGCTGCATTCGGCTTCCATGTGTCCGATGATTGGTACTTAAGTTTTTGGCCATTAGGATATTGTGTTCTGATTCGGGCTGCGATTTCTGAATTGACAGCATCCTGAACTTTAGGCGAAATTCTTCTCATTTGTGGAGTGAGTTGACGGACATCCTGCAAGTTATTGGTTTAGCAATCCGAGACCTTACATTCTGAGTACTACTCACCGTTAGTAGATCACCATTATAAATGTATTCAGTCTTTTGAGCCCTTTGCTCTTCCAAACTCTCAACATAGAAGCAAGCCGTATGAGGACTCGTAACTACATTATCAAACAATTTGAATGTCATCCTTTCGAAAGTTGGTGCTTCGTTCAACAATTCCTCAAGTAGCGTATTGGCCTCTTCTACCGGTAAGAAGTTATGTATGATAGAACAAGGAGTGTGAGCTGCAACATCTTCAGGGGAATATAAATGAAGAGTTTTGCCTTTCCTAGACAAACACTTGACTCGCTTTGTGGAATTCTCACTCGAGATGAATGTAGAAAGAGAACTTTGATATCCTACCGTGGCTGATGGCTTTTTGAGTATCGGCAAAGAGGAAGTATCCGAACTAGACATAGAAATCGAGGCCTTCTCAACATCACCATCATGTTCAAGTAACATTTCAAGAAGAACTTGCTGTTCGACTTCAGGGTGCAGAGATGATAATAGCGCCAGCTTGAAATCCGTTGATTCATCATCAGGAACACTGAGATCTTCAATGAGGTTGATCGTGTTTGACTTTAGAGGTGACTGGGGAGAGACAGATAATTTTCGCTTTTTTCTTGATATAAAGGCATCCATAATAGCGACGAAGTGTTCTCCAAGGTACAGTGCGTGTTTGATTGAAATCGACGTCCACTGCTGGTTCTCTTTGACTGACGGCGTACCAGAATTTAGAGAAAACTGTTTCACTGCAATCAGTCAATATGACTGGAGTGCAAGCTTGTCAAGGTTTGTGAACGCTTGTAGCTGCTAGCCAAAAAAACTCATAAATCCCACATATATAAAGTAGCTTTCCCCTACGGCAGTGTGGTTCATAAAGTTTAAACTCAAAGCTTCAGTATAACAATAGTCACGTGTATGATTACTCAGCCGAATAACTCCTCGGCATAAATTGGTAGTGGGGTTTCCCTTGCCTACATTTCCAGCTATTAATTACTTGTGACGATTACAGCAATACATACAATCGCAACGTAGAGTTTCGGCGCCAATCCCCCCGTTGGTAATAATGATGGAGTTTATTACTCGAGGCTTTAAGGGCTCTGCTGTCAAATACTCTCCTTTCTTCGACAACCGAATCTGTGTGACTGCTTCTGCCAATTATGGGCTGGTAGGAAATGGGAGACTTTATAGCTTGATGTTGACTCCGCAAGGTATTCAAGTACAGAAAACGTAGGTAATATTCGGGGGTTGACTCGGATTTTACCAATTTTGTCGCTCTCATAGCTCCTGCTAAATATTATTCTTTCTTATGATATAGTTTCGACACTCAAGATTCCATCTACGATTTAGCATGGTCCGAATCAAACGAAAATCAAGTCGCTGTCGCATGTGGTGATGGAAGCGTCAAATTATTCGATACCGCAATTCAAGAAGCATTTCCCGTAGCAAACTTCCATGAGCATGGTCGCGAAGTCTTTGCTGTTCATTGGAATCTGGTCTCGAAAGATACATTTGTTTCGAGCTCTTGGGATGGTACAATCAAATTGGTACGAGGATCTTCTGGGCTCGAGTTCAATTGTCTCATCGACAGTATTGCTAACACTTCTATTATCAGTGGAACCCAAATCGCACAAGCTCGATTCTTACATTACCTACACATTCTTGCACCTATAGCGCTGCCTTCTCTCCTCATTCACCGTCGATCATATCATCTGTCTCCTCAGATTCGCATTTGAGAATATTTGACCTACGTACCCCTTCCTCGGCTTCCAATCATTTAGTCTCACTTATTCCAATTCATGGTTCCTCACCAAGTGCAGGCTCTCTGGGGGCAGTCGGAAGTAATCGTCAAGTTTCACCACCAACCGAAGCTCTCACCCATGATTGGAATAAATATCGTGAGGGAGTTATCGCAACGGCTGGTGTCGATCAAGCGATTCGAACTTTTGATCTTCGCAATGTGGGTGGTGGACCTGTCGCCGTTTTAAAAGGACATGAATATGCTGTTCGAAAATTGGTCTGGAGTCCTCATCTTAGCGATACCCTCTTGAGCGCCAGTTATGACATGTCCTGTCGCATCTGGACTGATGGTACAATGAATGCCACCATGCCTCGTCAAATCGGTCGCATGGATGCCCACACCGAATTCGTTCACGGTGTTGATTGGTGTCTTTTTGGGGAAGGTTGGTGCGCCAGCACTGCTTGGGATGAAAGATTACTGGTCTGGGATGTTCGTTCTGTTATGACCGCATAATTCTTGACACAATTCTCCTTCCTTTGCTTCTCCTGCGACTTCTTTTCTTCTAGTGAAGTTTAATGAGAATGATTTTCTTTCTGCATACTTTGGGAAATCACATGTCCCTGGGAGCGATATGATACCACATAAATGGCGTTTTACCTTTTGGTGTGAGGGATATGAAAATGAAAAGTTTCGTAGAGTCTTTCATGTAGAATCTACGCGTGGATGTTCCGAATTGTAGAGAACAATCTTTGGTATTGGGTATCGGGGTAACGGAGTACTTGGAAATTAAGAGAAGAGCGCATCGCGTATAGATAGATATATACACTTATCCTGCGGGAAGGGTTCAAAGGGATGAAAAACTTGGTATAGATTAATATAATTAAAACATCTGCATACTCAGTGTTTATTTAATCTACATTTTCTTGGTTGCGACTAGATCGATACTGCCTAGCTATGAATTGAAGAAGGGCAGCAAGTAATCTTACATACACAAGAATCTTCATAAGCGGCTCCCTAATAATTCCCTCCCAAACCGATTCTATGTTCATATGTCCCATATAATGATATCACGCACCTTCAATCATCAATTAGAAAATCATATAATATGGTACCAAAGTATATTCATAAGTAAAGAGTAGAATTATGTCTATCCATATGACCGACTACGCTATCGATTCCCCATCCACTCACTCACTCACTTATCCACCAATGCCCTTTCTCCCCCTCGCCTACCGCAAATCTATCCATCCCCAACTCTCCACTATAAAGAATTCATTCCCTTTTCTCCATCCCATCCCATACCATCAAAACATTCTCCTCATTACCCATCCAACTCGTAAGTTATACATAGGTATGTAGGTAGGTATACAAGGGAGCATTGCGCGTGCTGAATGAACCACAGCTATCGTCGCTCCCAAACAAGAAACGCCTAAGCTCCATTCCCCGCCTTTTTGCCCATTTTTGTATCCTTCCTATCTATTTGCTATAATTTTCCAACAAGAATCGAAGAATTGTATGTATCGTACAGGCATAAATTTGAGTATTGTCCCCCCAAATCCCTTTCCCGAACCGTGCACATGGCATATTGCTTTGTGATCTTGTATCAGTCAAAAATCTGACAAAATATAGTAAAACAAGATGAGCCGAGACAAAAGCACAAGGGAAAGGAAAGAGGAAGAGAAATGAGAGGGAAAGGGAGTGGTGATACACAAGCAAGCGATTTAGTCAAACAAATCAAGTATCAAACCTTGTTTAGAAACTTGAAGATGAACCAAATCCTCCTTTAGAACCACCTCTATCACCGCCACCGAATCCTCTTCCACCACTTCCACCACTTCTTCCACCGCTTCCACCATTTCTTCCACCAAATCCTTTACCACCTCCACCTCCACCACCTCGGCCACCACCAAATCCTCTACCTCCACTGGATCCACCACTTCCAAATCCTCTTCCTCCACTAGATCCGCCACTGCTTCCGAATCCTCTTCCACCACCACCACCACTGCTGCTTCCAAATCCTCGTCCTCCACCACTGCTTCCAAATCCTCGTCCTCCACCAAGATCATCGTCACTCTCGCGAGGTTCATGGCCAATGTTAACGCCTGGAATTCTATCAATTCCCAATTTGCGCGCAAGGCCAGGGCCAATCATGGGAGGTTTCTCCCAACCCCAACCAAATTTGGTCCAGTTGTTCAAGTCTTCCATCATTGCTCTAGGGCTTGCACCCCGCTGACCTTGGCCAAGTGCTCCCATATATGCGTCGACTTTAATTTCACGGTCAACTCTCTTTGTTGCTTGACCGACTTCATTAAGAATTTCTGCGGTAGTGGCTGGTAATTGAGCATCTTGTTTCATGTCGACGAAGGGGGTCTCGAGTGTACGATCAGGTGTGATTGGAAGATTGGACAATGTTCGACGAGCTCCTGGGATTTCAGATTGTGTCAATAGAAGCCATCCTTCTCCTTCCTTGCCTCCTCTTCCAGTTCGTCCTACACGATGAATGTATGTATCTCTGTCTCTAGGGACACCGATTTGAATGACGTGGGTAACATTGGGGAAATCCATTCCTCTAGCTGTAACATCACTGGATAACATGACAGCAGACTTGGCACGACGGAATCTGTCTGTAACTCTGGTTCTTCTTTCTTGTGTGAGCTTGCCGTGAATAGCAGAAACCTCAATGGAATGAAGGGAATCTATTCCTTTCATGATCTCTCCAGCCAATTGAACGTTTGCGGTTGAGTTGAAGTATACGATAGCCTTGAATGGAGAGGATCCTTCAGTGTTAGCCTTTTCAATTCCTTTCTTGCAAATTTCGACCAACGCTGGCATGACGTTCTCCATTCCAGTAGCAGCGACAATCTTTTGGGGAATTTTTTCGTGTGTAGCTACATCTCCTGCCTTGACGGTTTGGACGAATTGATAATCCGGTTTCAAGATTCTTCTGACGAGACCCATAACCTCTCTTGGAACGGTGGCGGAAAATAATAATGTTTGTCGGTCAACTTCGTTTCGTTTAGGTAAAAGCTCTTGGATGTTATCGATATCCTTAGAGAATCCATCATCCAAAAGTCGATCAGCTTCGTCGAGAACCAAAGTTGTTAATCCTGGAGCAGATACTTGACTGTATTCATCGGTCAAAAGATCTTGAAGTCTTCCTGGGGTTCCGACAAGGATATGACAACCCTCGCGTTGAACTTTTCTAAGCATCTCTTTTTTGCTCGATCCTCCGACTGCAACTTGTACAATCAAATCTGTATTTCTTGTAATCTTGACTGCTTCGACGGCAATTTGTTCTGCCAATTCACGGGTAGGTGAAATGATGATTGCGCGGATATCGGAAGCTCTTGCTCTGGAATAACGTTGACGAGATGCAAGCTCAGGACTCTTCTCGAGGATATTTTGGATAGTAGGAAGTAAGAAGCCAATTGTCTTTCCGGTACCAGTTCGTGCTTGTGCAATACTATTATCGAATAGATTAGTATGAGACTCCAAAGTCCAGATGTTTTTTCCAACAACTCACATGTCATGTCCTTGTAAAGCTTGGTTAATAGTTAAAGTTTGGACCTCTGTCATGGTCTCGAGTTTCATAGTTTGGGTGATTTCGTTAACAACATTTGGGTGGACCAAACCATACTTGGTGAGTTCATCGAAACGATTAATGACTTTATTTTCTTGAACGACGGCAGCTTCTTGAGTGGCAACACTTTGTAATTGTGAAGCCGGAGAAACATGTAACCATCTTGACTCCAAAATTGGCAATGAAGTCTTTTGTGAAATGAGAGAAAGAGTTGAAGGTCTGGTTGAAGGAATTCGAATGGTTGAAGGGACTGCGCGAAGGGCTCTAGATATTGAGGCGGGACCTCTTCTGCAGACGGAAAACATGATTAAATACTGATCCGTATACGGATAAAAATTGAGAAGGTAGTGATAACAGTTCAATTGAAGTTATGACTGTTAAATTCAACAGTATAATAACCAAAGTGGCGATTGATTGAAATTGTCGAAGTCGCTGAAGTCCCCTCTGCAAAAATTAGACATGAAGTTTCTCTTCTACCAGAACTTTTTTTGACGCTAATGAGTTTATCTTGTGCCGCTAGTATGTAGATAGCTAGATTACGTGGCACGTGATTGTGCCTTATCGGACACCAAGCGAAAAACGTATGGGAGGAGAGACGAACAGACCATCTACTGGTACCTGACTTGATGAAGAAGACGATGAAAAATAATGAAGTATCTTGATTTTCTTGCAGCTCACTTTTTCCGGTCAAAACAAGCACAATGGTCGTCTTAAGGCTTCAGGCACGGCGGGTCAGAGGAGATGGTGGTAGAAATCCGCAGTACAAACATTCGAGCTCTGGGAGCTTGGGGGCTCACCCCCATATACCAGATTGGATCCCCTCTGTTGACACCACAAGAACACACTGAGAATCCTTGTGTATTGATTTGTATTGATGCATTAAAAGATATGACCCCTTCTATTCTACCTACTCCAAGTACTAGTGTTTATCCTATATCCGAAAAAACTCCCGCTCTATACATGGGTATCACCATTCATCATCTATCGTCAAAGATTATCCCCGGCAAATATGCTTTGCTTCACAAGCGTCTCCTTCTGTTTACTTTTTCTTAGACGAAGTACCATTCCTCGCACCCAACATAATCAATCCCTCACTAACACCTTCATGTACACCCCCAGTAACTCCCTCAAGAATCCAAGCCGCTGCATCCGTAAGAGCTTGTCCAACTTTCCCATCACTCATTCCATAAACCGCGCCTGTAACTGCCAAGCTCGATTTTCCGATCGTATCAACTGTTACTATACCCTTGGACAGAACCTTTTCTGATATCTTATGAGTTCGATCGTATTGATATGCTGACGAGAGTATGTGTTTCAAATATGGTAAGATAAATTGGAACAATATAAATAGTTGAATGATGATAGCTGCGATGCTTCTTTGAAGTAACGAAGGGGGTTCACCAGCATTTGAATCTTGACCATTTTCACTGGCGTGGGATTCTTCTTGTAGGGACTCTACTATTTCTGTTGGTATAGCACTTTGTAGGCTCATCTTTTCTTCTGTCGAGAGATCAGAGGGAAGAGCTCGGAGTAAGTAGGTCAAGGCGTGGACATAAAGTTGTCTCGCTAAGGAAGTATTGCTAAATCGAGTATTTTGGGGAATTGCCGATGATTCCTCAAATGAAAGAGCAAGAAGATTATATCCTATTAAGTGTTAATTAGTATCTTTGATCAAATTAAATATCGTAGCGGTCGAACCTTGATTTGCAAATTTCCATCCAATGCCTGACTTTGTCTCAGACAATCCTATCGTCTGGAGCTGCCCATTCTTGAGGGGTTGAGGGAAATCCTCATCGGAAGAGTGCGAATCGTCTAAGAAATAGCTATCCGTTTCTCCATCACTAGATACAGAGCTTCGTTCGTTGACGAGGGTCATTGTTGACGATGACGATGGGGATCCTGGTGTACTTGCTCCAGATAGCGTGCTTTCAGATTTTCGGCCACTCACAAATCCATATATGTCAACGGACTTTCGAATTGACGGTATGCGAGGTAAACGTGATTGTACGATATTTGGAAGCATTGAATAAAGCATTGAAGCTTCTTTTGAATTTTGAGTAAAGGTGGGTAGATCATGTTGGCTCTGCATCATAAATTTCGGATTCTCAAATGATGTGGTTTGGTCTTCTTGTAGATATGACTCTCGAGAAAGATTTAATTTGGAACGACGGGTAGATCGTGAGTACATTATATACATCAAATATCTATTATGGCGGAAAGGAAATGTACGGAAGTAGGTTCTTGGGAAATATATGTAAAATATTGCAAGCAAATGTTTTGGTGGACACAGACAAGAATTTCCGGTCGAAGATGATGGTCTAGGTAGGTCCAGGACGAACGTTTCCGGAATAGTTGTTGATCAGTTAATTTTCCCTCATAGCCAAGATTAATCTGTACCGTTATCGTAGTTGCTATATCACGAGAAATCGAGAGAACATTGAAGTCGGAATATGAATGTATGTTGGAAAAGAGAAAGAGAGAATCTAGGAGGGGTGAATGTAAATTTCATAATGAAATGGGGAATCGAATATTATATTTCTAGGGGACGATAAGAATGTTCGTTGCTATCAGAAGAAAGAAAAAAAGGTTTATTGCATGTGAAAGTGGCTTAAAATAGGTCAGCAATCACGTGGATGAAACATAACCAATGATAGATCAACGTGTGAAGATGTAATTCTCTGGTACGACAGCCATGGGAATTTGGAATGATAAGGCGATTGAGGGTATTCCCAGTGAATAGTGTCATGTGTGTAGAAAACAAAGCGATAACAATGTGAGGAAACCTGGCGATACTGTTGGACATTTTGTGAAGATTGAATCCAGATACTTGCCCCTCGAGCCCCTCCAATACCCTTCCATAATTCAACCGAATGCGTCCCCCGCCCCCGCCTCTCCATTTATGGTGAACAGACGTCGATTATTCCGGAACAACATATTGCGGATCTGTCGCTCTAGTGTTCGCCTTATAAATATCAATTTCATCCCACTCAACTCCCTCAAGGCATCTCAAGTTAATTGCATGAATAGTTGGCCATCTTTCCCGTTGTGCTGGTGTCAATGATTCCCAAGTCTTGGGAGATCTAGACACTGCAGCCGTGTCTTTTTCAACATCGACGGTAATACCGCAAGTTGAGCAGAACCGAAATATGTTATAACCCTGACCAAATGAATATTCTGTCAAGTTCGATATGCCCGAAACAGATACCTGGTCTCTCCTGGGATAACAGACAGTGATGCCGAGCTATAGTTGATTAGTTTGATATCAAAGTGAACTGGCGATATAATACTTACTCGACAACAGATGCTACAGTTACACTCCTGTATATGTTCATGACGCTTGGCTAAGGGAGCTTGGGTCTTGAATGCAATAGTTACTGCACCACAATGGCAACCGCCAGTATAAAGCTTTTCGTTTTCGAACTTGGCTGATGGTAGTTCACCGGTGTATTTAGGTGCCACATATTGTGGTTCACGATCAAGGCCATCATATCTGGGGGTTGGATGTCAAAACTTTGTCTCCGCTGCGAGAATTTGCTGGGTGCGGCTTACTTATTAATCTTCAGGGACCATTGATCCATATCTTGGAGAGAATTGACCTAAGGAATCATCAGTCATTTGCCGTCGTGATATACATGTGCTTGAATCTCTTCCAGCTCACATTGATACCAATATCCCTTCCTGCTGGAGTGTTGTAGCGGAATCCTTGTATATTCGATCCACATGTTGGACAAAACTAAATGCGTAAGCATTATTTTCAATTGAGGACGGCAGTATTACCCTATGAGCCATTGTACGTTGTCCAAAATGGTACTCTTTCAAAGTTCCTTCTCCCTTGACAATCTCGAAGCAACCCTCACCAGGAAATACCCATCGATATCCTTTTTTGAAACAGATGCTGCAGTTACATTGAGTAGCAGCAGTTATTTCAGGCATCTTGATAGTGAATTTGAATGCACCACAATGGCAGTTTCCATTGTAGGTTTTGAGTTCTGGTGCAATTTCTGACATGTTGAAGTGATTTTTTGCGGGCACAGAAAGGAGAGATGACGAGAGATGAAAAGAGTGAGAGTGTCGAAGATACGAATTCAGGATTACTTTCGAGGGAGAGCAGTGCTTTATAGCATTTCTGTTATTATATCAACAGAATTTTGTTGAATATGTAGGTATTTATGTCTCAATCCCACAGCTGCAATAATCGTGACTTCTCAATTTCACATCTCAAATCTCAAATCTTACCAGAATCAGGCATAAACTGTCAGAGATTCCTTCCCATGATGGATATATCATATCATTTGATCCATAATTCAAATAGGAGTCTTCCACAAAAGGAACGGCGAGGTCGATTATTTCAAATATGACTCATGAGCTCAGAGTCAACTTCTGTTGAGACCATACGCCGATGTCTCAAGCCTTGCTTGTTACAATAGCGGGATGTATATTGAAAACTCAACAATGAAGCTCAACAGAAAATAAAACCACGATGCAGTGCAAAATAGGAAATGTGATGAGTAATCGCGATCTTGATCATTAATCAATGGTATATATGCGGGCAATGGTATCTCCATGTCGGTGTATCCATCGTAATATCGGTATATCGGCCAGCTTAAAAGGGAAACCAGACCATTAATTCATTTATCCAATACGGCAGCGTCGTTCATCAGTTGTGAGCAACGGTTCGCCGTTACCTATTGTCACCTTATTGATCCATGCATTTGAATATGTGGAGTCGAAAACTTGTCGTCATGCATGTGCGTCGTATTGACGTATTATATTTATACTTTCACCCGTTGGGCTCAGGCTCGGGCTCGGGCTCGGTCTTAAGGTTTCGGTCTCGGGTATTCACACAGGTACACTACTCGGATATACGACGACGATGATGATTCGATACCTTTGCCATTGGATATGTTTGAGTACACAAATGAAAATCATGTGCTTGGTAGAGGGAAATGATCCTGCTCCATATTGCCTCTCTTATCTCAGACTATCTGTTCGTTTGGTGTGCTGTCTACAACTCCCTGTATGATAGTTGGCCGACACCTTTTATTCGAGGAGCAAAAGCCCCTGAAGGTTATTGACCAAAAATTACTAGATATCAATATCAAGAGAAATCGCATATCTCTAGCTCTTCTGAAGTGCCATTCTCGACAGTCATTACCATATACCCACCCAAGCTATCAATGCATGCCAAGCATATTACCTCAACACGGAGATGAGAAGTTCACCCTGGCATCGAGCATTCACGATATATACTGGCAGACCGCTCAAAAGAACCATCGATGTGGGCTCGTAACATGAGATTGTATCCGTCGAAACAAGAAATGTCCGTAGGTAAGGATTTTATATATACACTATGGCCAAATCTAGAGAATCAAACGCTTCAATAGACTGGGGAAATGCCTACCCCAGGAACGTCAAACTCGATGTACGTACAGTCTGTCCGTCGTTGAACCACAAATTGTTATTTCTTTCATGAGGTTGTCAATCTGAAAGCATCATGTCCGTTGCATACAGACCTGTCAAGCCCCAGCAATGTCATTTCCATAGCATACATGATATTTTGCAGTGCAGTATACGCAAAACGGACACTTTTGAAAAGTCCGAGGCTCCAATTTTGTGATAAAAGTGTCACACTGCATTTGCCCCTTCGATCTTCATCCATTCTCAATGCCGCGACCCAGAATAGTTTTCTTCCGCCTTCCGCTCTCCCTGTATGTAGTCAATCCTAGATGACTACTTAAAGGAGGCTTTTGGCTTGTTATTCATATCAATAACAAGATCAATTAATGCTCCATTAGACCAAGCGGGTGATCGTCACTCGGTAGTTTGTTTTTAGCTTTTGAATTAGCTTGTTCGGTCGATCTTTGCTATCCGAGCTACATATATACATACGACTTTACGTCCCAGAACGAAATTTCTTTACAAAAGAATTTGATAAACAGAAGTCGAAAATGAGGGTCATTATCGTTGGTGCAGGAATTGGTGGTCTCGCGGCTGCTATTGGTCTTAGAAGAGCTGGTCATGAAGTGTTGGTACGAACAATTCTTTTCCCAGCGCATTGTTGATTTGAGAAGCCAAATAATCTCTTTTGACATATTCTTTCAATACTAATAAGCGTACAAGATTTTCGATAAATCCTCTCTATCCCATGAGGTTGGCGCAGCTATCAGTGAGAAATTTCACCCGCCCTATTACCGAATTATCAAAAAATTAATACATTCTAGACGTTCAACCTAATGCAGCTCGAGTCGTCGCTAAATGGGGCTTCAATTTCGAAAGAGCACGTTTAGTTACTGCCAAATCCGTAACTGTTACCTCTGGGAATGAACTCGTTAATTCCCACGTGATAGAGTGGTCGAATACGGAAGAAAAATACGGCTTCAAGTCTTTCTACAGTCATAGAGTTGATTTACACACAGAACTCAAGTTGCTTGCCACAGGAGAAGAAGGAGAGGGAAAACCAGCCGTGATTTACAACAGATGCGAAGTTGTCGATTATGTATTTATACATCCACACGCTTCAGTGAACTATACTAAACTTCATCATAGGACACCACAAATGGATCAGTAACTCTCGCTGACGGAACCATCAAGACAGCAGACTTAGTTGTCGGTGCTGATGGTGTTCATTCCGCAGCAGTGAAGAAAGTTGTCGGATATGAGAACCCAGCAATTTCAACAGGAATCTTGTGCTTTCGAACCTTGATGCCTGTTCAAGAGATTCGAGATGATCCTGAATGTGCCTTTTTCATGGAAGAAATGGAAGGAAAACTTCGTATGTTCACTTGGCCCAAGCATAATCATCAGAAGGTTGTTTGGTATCCTTGTCGAGAGTATGTTACATATTTACCATTTTTGCCACTTTATTCTTAATACTTACGTTGTATTTAGGAATGAAGTACTCAATATCGCAGTCTTTTGCGCTGATAAAGGGGATCTTGACCCCTCCCACGGTAAGCTTCGGTTTCTTGAACCGTCCCATCAAAAGTGTCAACAAACTAAATCGATAATGTTGTAGACTGGAATAATTGTATTCCGACCCAAGTCCTTGTCGATGAAATCAAAGATTGTCATCCTGCACTTCGGCATTTGTTATCAAAAACAAAAGATGTTAGACTCTGGAAACTTCTTTTCAGAGCCCCTCTTCCTTCTTGGCATCAAGGAAAACTAGTGATTCTAGGCGATGCCGCACACCCCATGTTACCTTGTATGTAATTCTCTATTTTATTTTCTACCTTGCCTCTTCCCACCTTTCCCTCCATCCCTGTCTTCATCCTCACTTCAACTTCCAATCCTCAACCCTCAATTCCTGATACTAACACCCCTCTCACCCAATAGTCCAAGGCCAAGCCGGCGCTCAAGCCATAGAAGATGGTTGCGCCCTCGGCATTCTCTTTTCTAATCTCCCGGAAGGGAGCATCACAAAAGAAACCATCGCAATCCGTCTTGCCAGTTTCCAAAAATTGAGAAGAAACCGCACAAGCGCCGTACAGATATTTTCAAATGGGGGATACTTTCAATCGGATGCAGATAAAGAGAAGGCCAGGATATATTTGGAAGAGGGTCAAACTTTACCTCGTAAGTCTTTCTAAATTCCTAGCCCCCACCCCCTTCCTTTGGATTTTCGAGAGTGCTTTAGTCCTTTAGAATGATGAGGATGAGAGGGGAATCAAATACAAGCTCGGGAATCAGGATCTGGAGCCAAGAATACCAACCCCGGAATACACATACGAACGTGATAAAACAAAAAAATAAGCTAACACCACCCCGCACCAACAGTAACTCCCGAAGACTATCAAGAATACTTCTATAGTTACGATGTAGTGAAAGCATCAGAGGAGGAATTAGAGAGACTTACTCGATCGGTAGGAAACTCATCGAAGTCTGGTTGGGAAAATGAGAAAATAAGAAAAATCCCGGGGAAAGCTACTGGGATGGTTGTTGTGAGGAATTAATTTGCATGTGTGGGGTTTGCTTGTTGTTGTTGCTGTTGTTTGTATATCCAGATTGCGGTTGAATAGCTAGTGAGCTAGCGGGCTAGCTAAAACTAAAAGTTAGATGATGGGGATAGTGTATACTATATACAGTAAAATTGAGGAGTTGGCAGCTTCGTATTCGATGATTTTTCAGTCGAGTATCTATGAGTGATTTGAAGTGATGATGTATTACAGTGATATTGATATAGAGTTGAAGTATAAGTTTGGTGTCTAAGGAATAAGGGAGGCGAATGCCAATTGTCGAGGGTTTTGAAGTATAGGTGTGTGCTGGATCTGTTATTTCTGTGGAAGAACTCGAATTATATGGAGTGGAGAATTTTAGCGAAGAGATTACTTGGGTTTTGTGGTCGTGCTCTTGGGTGGTAGTCAGAGATAGTGTAACCCCAAGCTGGATATAAAGAACTTAGTTTCACAGTTAGAAATAGAAGATAGGAGGAGAAACTAATTCAGGAGTATGGAAGAACAGAAGTAATTGAAAAATAGGAATTTCATCCGGGTTTGAAGGGGATAAATTTGGGATATTGTGTTAGAACGTCAAATACGTAGCTTTAGTGAGATAAATCTTGTGGATAGAGTAAAGAAGCATTAATCACATAGAAAGAGAACATGGTGATTAAAAAGTAATTCTCAGAACTATTAAGGTTCATCGCTCGAAGAAGCCAAAGTAAATCGCATCGTAGCCAGCGATGTCATCTTACCTGGATCCTGCCAGATTTCTTGAATCTCCAATTCGATAACCCCTCCAACCATACATACGCAAACCAAAAGACTATCTCAAGATTCTATTATTCCTCCAACCTTTTGTGTCTTCAAATAAGTCGGACTCCAAAATAGCTTCAACTACCGGCCAGCTCCATGGACGTCCTTCAATACCTTTGGAATTCATGATCGAATTGAATCGTTCTCTTCTTGTTTTTTCATTGCGCTTCATATGATCGAGTGATTGATCCAAGACCTCAGTAGCGAAGTCCTTTTGGTCTGCTTGGGAGTAAACCAAATACAACTTTTTCGGGGCAAAAGATTCAAGAAATGGCAAGGTACGGGAGAGATCTGTTGGACGGAAAAGATCCACAGGAAATACGTTCTCTTGACCTTGTGGGAAATTCTTCGAAACAAACGTTTCCACGTCGATAGCAATATTTGCAAATTGTTCGTAGCAAGCGTTATGTAGGATGCCGCCGATAACTCCTGCCGAGGTCGTCTTACATAAAGGATCTCCTCTCATCCACATGATATGCTTGTCCATGTTGTAATAAAACCGACGTGGGATATTGCAAGCTTCTGTAACTTGGGTAGAAATTGTATGAGCCTTGCTATGGTCATATTTCGTGATGGCAATGTGACGGGATTCTCGTCAGGTTTCGAAAAGCGCATTGGGATAACAAGGTGAAGTCATTTGGTTCTTCCACACTGCCATGCGGCCGCCATCTGATTCAACTTTGATTCCTTCATACTCGGTTTCTATTTGAATGGCGCGATGATGCGGAATTACGGCGAGTTTCCAAATCGCGCGTCGTACTTTGAGAGGAAGATCAGGGAAGTTGTGGAATGTTTCAACGGGATTAAGAAGTCGAGTATCCAGAATTGCCTCAACGGTAGGCATCTTCCACTTCGTTAAGTTTGTGCCATCTCGTTCGTTCTTTTCCCTCAACATTCTCTGGGTCCATGTGTTAGAATGCCGGGCACTGAATTTTATTCGTTTCACCAAGTACTTTACTTCCTGGTCAACTTCATCCCTGCAGTCCCCAGAAGAGTAAACAATGTAAACTTTTTCCACCTCCGCTTTAGAGACAGCATAAAGCGTGCACATATTGGGGTCTTGCGGTATGTTTCCTCCCCAAGGTACAATCTCATGATGTGCTTTAATTCCCGCAAAGTCTAGGGCAACGGAGCGGAAAAGATATGGCCCCAGTTCGGTATAACGTCTCTGCCAAAAAAGGACTTCTAACGTCGTTTCGCTTGGTGAATCATTAGTGATGGATTGGAAAAGTGGATTTCCTCTGACCCACAGAGTGTCTAGATCTGTATTGTAAAATAGAGGACGATCGAGGAAGCTGGAGTATTTATAATACTTCATGGCAATCGACCGCGATTCACGACAGATTCCAAGCAACGGTGTTGGTGAACACTGTGTAGGACTCCAATGTTCAATTTCATCATCAGCATCGTCATCGTCGTCATCATTGAGATGAATTTTTCCCTCAGCATCTCGCTCACAAATTGTTTCAATTTGAATGACCCGAGGCTGTGGAACAGCAGCAACCTCCCAAATGTTGCGTTGTAGTTCGAGAGGTAATTTGGGAAAGCAAGTGAAATTGCCAGCATCAATGTTAAGTTGGGATTGAGATGAGCCTTGGCGGTTAGGTTGAACTAAGGCTTGAGGTTGATCGCTAATTTGGGGTTGATCTTGAGCATCGGACTGATCATGGCTATCGAGATTACGTTCCTCCCGAGGATGAACTTGCGACATGATGGATATTAGTTGATTATCGACGTTGTTTTATTCGTTGAAATGCCAATAATTGGTGAGAAGCGTCGTCTGTACGATGAGGTGGATGTACGGAAAGACTTCCCCAATCTTTTTATGAAGAATGTATCTGCTGTTATTGACGATTAAGTTTGATTTTGTCTTCATTGTATGGAATCAAAATCTTGATAGAATTTTATGGTGTTATGTCGATGCAAGAATGGTGATTGACAAGAAGCTTGTCAAAAAACGAGGTCGTTTATCTGTGTATTAACTAAGCGGGGTGATTTGGTGTTGCAGTACCTCGAGTCATTGGAACTAGGTAAATTCTGAGTTTCTTGCTTCCTCACTAATCATCACGTTTCTCTAAAGTACAGCCTTGCTTTCATGGCTTGAAGCATTATTGAATGGAACGTTTGTATTCGTATTTTCTTTCAATTACCAATCCCAAGCTTGATCAGGAGTTATCTAGAGTTCAATCGATAACAATCGTGTAATGCCCTCACCACAAAATCACAGAAAGATATCTGAGATTCACTACAAATAAGTCAAATGTTTGTGACGGTGAAAGTTTGTCTTGTAGTTCGATTATACGGTCCTGATTTTCGAAAGAAGTCTTAGAACAGGAAAGCTAAAAGACCTCAGAATAGCCTCAACTTTTCCTAAAAATACAATCTTTTTGGCTACCTTCAAGACAATTTAAAAGTCAATTGATAGATGTGTCAATTTGTTCAACATTCAACATGCCTTTTAAGTTTTCGAAAATACACCTCTATGCCTTTGAATCTGCAAAGATTACAGCTTGGGTCATAGGTGGTATTATTTGTGCCCCCCAATGGCATCATTCTACGCCGGCAGTTGTCTGGGCCTAATAGCACACTCTATAATCAAATCTCGCATCAGAGAAATGAAGTCCCGGAAAATGATCAAAAGCTCCTGTCCCAAAAAATTCCGCACCTTCACTCTGTTCAACTCATTACCCAGAGAACTACAATTGGCTGTCTGGAAGCACGCACTCCATGACATCGAGCCTCGAACCGTTAAACTCAAATTGTATTGGTGGCAATACAAAGTGGGCGGGTCAGAAGTTCGAGAATTTCTAGGTTCTATCCTTACTGCACAACATGAATACAAAGCCAATATTCCGGCCTTGCTTCATGTTTGTCATGATTCACGAGAAGTCGCCCAAACGAAATACAAGCTTAGCTTTGGAAAATTACTACAAAGGCGACCCGTATACTTTGATATCGAACGGGATACTCTTTGGGTCGTGGGAGGACGAGACCACTGTGAAGCCTTTCCACTTCGATTGTTGACTATGGACGGCTTTCAAAACTTGATCATCACACCTTCACCAAGACAACTTTCCATTGGGGCTACAGAAACATCATTTGAGCCACTAAAACAGTGGCTCGATCGACTGGTTTCACGCTCAGGGGGATCAATATACGAATTCAGATCGTGCTCGAGCCGGTGGACAGAATAGAGAACGATATTAGCAATACGAACGCTGAACGTTTATGCGAGGCAGTGCGAAATCTCGGCATACGTAATTTTCACCCTTCTGTAGAAGTAGTCTATAGGGCAAGATTGGATTTTGGGGGAGGACATTGGTAAGTGCACCATTCCCCTAAAGACGTACACCATCACTAACCAACAATTGTTGAAGACTGAAGCAGATGTCATGTACTAAGTAGCAATTCTCACATTAAGAGATATCGGAAACGGAATTGCCAATAAACGGAGAGATATGATTCAAATCGCAATGATTTTTCACTTGACTATTCAGGCGCATGGCCATCTCAAAATGTATGATTCCTCGGGGTAGCGTTCCTTTATTTCCTTCAACGAACGTTTTTCCATAAATAGACAGATATTCATCGTACAATCATTCGATCTCAGTGCAGGCCAAACGTCAAAAATATTGAGTGACTTATTGTCGAAGGTCTGCATGAAGAATCCGGCGTGTGTTCGGATAGGTAGGGACTTTTGATCTGCAGCATTTTCATTCCTCAAAACCACGATCGATTTTTGTCTTATTGAGCATTTTAGAATGGGCAAGGTCTTGACAAGGTCGTGACTAGTATCTCCATCAATGAGTGTGTGATAGTGCAGTGTGGAATTTGACTGTTGATCTCTGAGAGAAGTTCCAAGATCCTTATAGTTAAAGTGCAGGGATAGAAGCTATACTATAGAAGAAATATATCAAGTATGGAAATTGACGTAAAAATTGGATATGCGAGACCACAGCAACACGAGTTATGTTGACGAAGATTGCTGTGTCGGAACCTCGGGGGTTAGGTCGAAAGTGGCTTACTAATTAGTTCGCTCATGGGGCTTGACTTTAACCTCCATTTTGAGACAACCTCTTTTGATATCGCTGCAAAATATGTTGGGTAGATCGCTTTGCGGGTGGGTCGAAGATATGTATCATCCCGGAATGGGGGTGCAAAGTTTCAATGCATCCGGCGCATATCCAGCCACCCGTAATTTTGAAATGCTTGGGAGGAAAAGCCATAAGCCTTAAAAGCTTGAGGCGTATCTTATGGCTGTTTGACCATCATGCCTGTTGCCAGATTTGAAGGACGGTGTCAAGTGCTGAGAGCTGTAAGCTTTTCGGATTAATATCAGCAAATCAGACTCATTCTCTGGTCAGCGATCTTTACCAAGATACCTCTTCTCGTGTATTATTTCATAGTAGGATCTAGATTGCCTTGCAATTTAGTAAGCATCAGGAGCGATCGACACACGAAATTATTGTGGAGAATCCTTGCAAAGAGATAATAAAAGCATGTAAGGGCGTCAATCTTGTCAGCGAGCGGGAAGTCATATAAAGTTAAATACCGAGATTTTAAGTATAAGATCTCCGACGTTCCCGGGTAGAAGGTGTATAGTACTTCGTTCGAGCTTCTCTTTTCCTCAGGATGTTGTCCATCACTTTTATCTTACCGCTATTATATGCTCTCTCCGTTGCTACAAATGCAGATGATGCGAATGCTACTATTAACTCGGCTGTTGCTAGTGTTACAGAATCTCCAAATACAAATGTGAACATTTGCGTAAGTATCTCTGTTTGGCATCGGCAGCCCATGGTCTTTTCTCATCGCTGATCGATTTGAACTTGTTCAAATCATCTTACCCGCTTTGATGCTCTGATGGCAAACTGTTAATCTCATTACATAGTGCAAAGCTCTTCAATTGGCATTGGGTTCGAAAGTGTCGTACCAAAGTTCATCAGCATATAGTACATTTTTGAACAATTTCTATTCTCAGCAAGAATCACAACTATCCCCAGGTTGTATTGTATCACCAACATCCACAGCAGACGTCTCAATCTCAGTTGGAATTCTGTCCATTCTGGGGAAACTTGCAAATTGGAGTCCTTCATGCCAATTCGCTATCAAATCCGGAGGTCATGCCCCTGGAATAAGCCAAGCTAACATCGATCAAGGAGTAACGATAAACTTGAGTCCTCTTAATTTCATAGATGTTAGCACCAACCAGTCAGTGGTATCAGTGGGTCCAGCAGCAAGATGGGGAGAAGTTTATCTTAAGTTGGATGCTTTACAACTTTCTGTTCCTGGTGGACGAGTCAACTCAGTTGGTGTCGGAGGATTGACCGTTGGTGGTGAGTCTTGTTGATCAATTTCCTTTACATTTTTAATCGATCAGTCAACTCACATGTACAGGTGGAATATCATATTTCTCTCCCAGGAAAGGATTCACATGTGATAATGTCAAGAATTTCGAAGTAGTCCTTGCAAGCGGTAAAATTGTCAATGCAAATGCGAATCAAAATCCCGATTTGTATTTAGCTTTGAAAGGTGGCTCCAATAATCTCGGTGTAGTTACTCGAATCGATTACTATGCTTTTCAACAAGGCAAGTTGTGGGGCGGTAATATTTTGTATCCAGCAACTACCGTGGACCAACAGATCAACGCACTGGCAAATTTTAGCAGCAACCCAGCTTATGATGAGTATGCCTCTTTGATCACGAGTCTCGCATTTCAGCCAAGTATCGGATCCGTGGTGGTCAACAATATTGTATATACTAAGCCGGTCGCAAACCCGGCAGTATACCAGCCCTTCACGGCAATTCAACCTCAATACTCGAACACCTTGAGAATCACGAATTTGACAGACATCGGAAGTGAAACAGGAGGCACGTTTGATCAATTACGGTGTGTCTCTCATTCTTCTACTGGCTTTTTTCCACATGAGTTTGTTTTAACAATTTCACAGAACATTATTCATTACAACAACATTCAAAGCCAATAAGCAAATGATAAATGCAACTTACAACGCCTGGAACGCCTCTCTTCCATCTATTCAATCTCTTTCCAATATCACCTGGTCGCTATCATATGAACCAATCCCCGTTAACATCCCCGCCAAATCAGTTTCTACGGGGGGAAATGTCCTTGGTGTAACTCCCGCCGATGGTCCATTAATTGTTGCTCTTCTTACTGCAACATGGGGGAATATTGCCGATGATACAGTTATTGATAATACTGCCAGAACTATGTTCAACACGATCGATGCATATGCAAAAGCATCTGGATTCTACAATGACTGGCAGTATCTGAATTATGCGGCGAATTGGCAAGATCCGATTGATGGATATGGAGCGGTGAATAAGGCGAAGCTTCAGGCGGCGAGTAAGAAGTATGATCCGCTAGGTGTTTTTCAGAAGGGTGTTACAGGAGGGTTTAAACTTTTTGTTTGATTTATAAGTGGGGGTTGTTGGGGTTGACTTCTAGGTATGGGGATTTTGGAAAAGTGATATCCATTAACTCTATCTTTGGGTGCCTCTCAAAAAGTTTCAACTGCTATCCAGTGAAATAATGGTTCCGAATTGTCATTTTGTATTGAGGTATGCCCACATGGAAGATAGTGCTGCTTGATGGTCTGTCTTATGCTGTGACATTAGCGCGAGAAGTATATATAGAAATAGTTTTAATAAAGATTCTGTTGCCATCATTTTTGCATCGAAAGCATTATATGTTTAATTTCATCTTCCAACATATGTAGTCCAGAAACCTAGCAAATTATCTTCCCCATTCAAGACAGCAAATTCCTTCTTACTGGACACCTTTATTTGGCAACGCAAGATATTCCCCTGAAGAAAGACAACTCTCATCATCAATATTCACTCTGTACTTCCCTACCAACTCTCTCACCTTCTCCACCGGCAGTCCCTCCAATCTATACCCATTTACTCCCGTTCTCCCATCTCTCCCCGCAATAATTGAATTCAAAATTGCTTCCTCGGTAGCTTCACTTGCGGCTCGGAAAAGTGTCTCGATACTTTCATTTCTGATGACTTTGATGTCGTTGATTTCGATCTTTGAAAGTCCGTCGACTTGTGGCGTGCCGACTGTCTCGTTGGGTCTGTTGCCGGTAGAGAGAGCGAGAATTATATCGCCGGAATGATTGCGGCCAACGCCGTGGCCACCAACTTGGGAGAGTCCTACTGCGCAATGGCGAGCAACACGATTGAGTTGATGGGGGAGAAGTGGTGCGTCAGTACTATTGTTATATTAGTCGCAACTCTTATACTTCATACCGATACCATAGATGAGAACTCACATCAAAACAATAATGATGCTCCCCTCTCCAATCTTCCCATTTTTCTCACTCGCTCTCTCTTTTTCCTCCAACTCCTTACTCTCTTTCAACAACAACCTTCCAATCGGTACACCCCCAACTATAAAATCCCTCAAATGTCCATAATTACTCTGTACCAACACCCCAACCGTAAATTGTTTCTCCCCCTCCCCACTCTCCCAAGGCACTTCTCCAAAAACTCTCGAACTAGTCCCCGTCCCACCAGGAAACAAATGACAAGTCATGCCGGCTCCACCTCCATACTGACCTTCTTGAACCTCTCCCTGCGTCATCGCGTTCTCAAACGCAGGCTTTACCTCTTCGAGAGTTAATGGCGATTTATACACATCGTTGAGGATTAAATCGGCGGTTTCGCCTACGATGGGCGTGCCATAATTATGAGAGATTTCTTTAACAGGAGTGTCTTTTTTTGCAGCGAGATCGAGAACACGCTGCCAGAGAGCTTGGTAGACGGTTCCTAGGGAGAGAGAATTGGTTATTGCGATTGGCTGTTTGTGCATTAGATAAATTTTCCTAACATCTTTGGTTCCTTCTATTTGCTGGAGTAGAAAAGAGTCCTACGGTATTAGAATATCCCCAATCTTTGATCTGGTAATTTCCAGTCAATTCCCCATTTCCGTTAAGCGTGTGTAACCCCGCATAACAGGGGATTGTGATATCATCGGGATGGCGGGGAAAAATAACAGTAACACCTTTACGGGCATCGTCGCCATCATTTCCAACGGTATTCTGACCGACGTGGACTCCTAAGTAATGTTAGAATATTTGGTTCGAATTTAGAGAGGGGTGATATTCTCGTGACGCAAAACGTTGGGGTAACTAACCTGGAACATCGAGAATGGAATTTTTGGGTCCTGGTGGGAGTTGCCCGGGAACGTATCCGATGTCTTTACTTGTAAGACGTGTGGTCGACATCTTTGCTAAATAGAGGGTACGTGTGCTTGAGAGTTTGGTGGTTTGAGAAGAGATAGAGGGAGATTAAGCATTTGTGTGGTGTTTATAGAAATTGAGGTGGGCGGATATATATTTCATTATTGGCCAAAATTGGATCGCGGGGTAATTTAATGGCAGTGACTCACGCCGTAAGATCATTGGTGCTAGTGCTACAATTACAAATGATGCTTATACCGAAGTTTATATCCCGAATATCTCTTTATACCGGTACCTCATTCATATCGGGTCTAATTGGTTCAATGATGTGATCCGAGCCGGGATAAGCGGCTCATTTGTGGATTGTGTCTAATTAGGAAGGTGAAAGTTTTTAGGGCCCAATAACACTTAACATGATCGGGACTCATCAAGACCAATATTGCAATTCGTCTATAAAGAAGTAAGATAGTGTGTTACTCCAGCCCCTGAATTTAGCGAAATTAGTGTTCATTCGCAATAACTCCGGAGTATGCAGGAAAATCGAAAAGTGTTTCATCGAGTCTAAGCAGTCAACGCATCAACCCCCTTTAGATACCCGTCTTTATTTCATGTTGATACGATTCTAGGTACCTTTCAAGATAACTAACGTTCAAAATACATAATGTGAATGGCACATCTATCCTTGATCGAACACGGAAAGGACCCATAATTTACTGAGAGGCGAGAAAACCAAGCAGGAAATTTACCGGAATATTCAATAAAAATACCATTTCTCGAGCGGGATACGAATTAATACATATGAAACATGAGTACCATGTAGTATATGGGAGAGTATACCCTTATATCAACGCCAGAGTAGAATTTTGATTTCAGCAAAATTAGCTCTGAATATTCGAGTGGTTGAATGACAAGCAGCAATCTTGAATGCTACAGGAAGTTAAAAGATACAGTAAAAACCCCGAATATTATTATTCCATATATTGATACCTCAACTAGCACATAACAAAGCGAAATATTATTATTTCATTATACTATTATTAAATTTATAGATTAGCAAGTTTCGAATCAAGTATATAATCTTTTAGGAATTGATGAAATAAAAAGAAAAGAGATAAAATTATTAATTGAAATTCAATAAATTCAATAAATTAATTTTTATTCAATTATCTTAAAAACTGAAATTAAAATTCAATTTAGTAGTATTTCAGTAATAGAAGGGTTAGTGCTAAAGTTTGATCATTGTAACAAAATCAGTTGGAAAACTACTAAATTGAATTTTAATTTCAGTTTTCAAGATAATTGAATAAAAATTAATTTATTGAATTTATTGAATTCCAATTGATAATTTTATCTCTTTTCTTTTTATTTTATTAGTTCCTGAAAGGTTGTATATTAAATTGAAAGATTGATAAGTATTACAAAATGCTAGTTGAGGTTACTTTAGTTATAAATCTGACATTTGAGGTATCAATACATAGAATGATAACATTCGGGGTTTTTACCATAAAAGATATCATAGAACGGAAAATTATTCTCTTTGTAATTTGAAGTTATGTTTCTATATACAAATTCTAAATAAATAACCACAAGATCGCACATCAAGATTCATGAGCTATAACCATTCAGCTAATGCCGCCCTCCGATCTGAGTCTCTTGTACTCTTCTCTATGTATTTCTTCTATTTGCTCGCGCGTTCGATGATCTTTCCATAACATATCTTCTGGCTCTGAGGGTGATGGTACGTATGGATCTTCATTGGACGGCCTTGGGAATCCGTCTTTCCTGTTGACGTATGGCGAATGTTGTTGTAAGTTTAAATGTTGTTGCTGGTGAGAGTGATTAGAATCATTGTTGAATAAATCTGGATGACTTTTCCTTGGCCTCATTTCATTGCTATTTACGTAAGGGTAAGAGTATGATTGCGATTGACTAGTACTGGGATGTGATAACTCTGGATGACTTCTCTTCGGAATCATTCTTCCGCGATCGCCAGATCCATGCCGCGCAGAAGATTTTTGACGGCCATGATCTGACGGATATAAAGACGGAGGTAAAGGTGGTTTTACTGGGTTTTGATGAACGTAGTTTTTATTTACAGGCGTTTGAGGAGTACGAGGCGAGCGTCCAGGAGGTTTTGTGTTTGGAGATTTACTAGGGGACCTTCCTCTGCCCTCACTTGGCGAATTAATCGTTATTAATGGCCGTGAATGGAGAGCGTCCTTTGCTAAAGTATCGCGATTTGGCTTGGTTTGAGGCTTACGTTGAATAAGAGGCTGGGAAGTATTTGGTGTACGTCGTCGTGGATGTGTAGATGTGTCACTGCCGGACATATTATCTGATGGTTTACGTGCACGTGATTTAGACGGAGCTCGTTCACCGGCGCCTGAAAGTGATACAACAGAATCGTGTTGCTTATTCACTCGGCGCGGACGTGTAGATGTAGATGTATCACTTTCAGAACCATAATTTGATGAGTATGCTCTTGATTTAGATGGAGCTCGTTGACCGGTGGGAAGGAAAACAGCAGAATCATGTGGCCCATTCACTCTGTGAGATTCATGACGAATTCTCGTGCCGTTATGTTCGCGCGGTTTTGATAGTTCCACTCTGTTGTCCTTTAGCCATCGCAGTACATTACTAAATTTGAAATGATACTCTTTCTGCCATTTTTCGATCAAGTCTCTCGGTGTGACGGTGTTCTTCGATCTGGACCGTATACCCTCCAACTTTTTCTTATTGTCTTTGATGTAGCTTTCAATATCTTCCACTATTCCACTCAACTTGGTATCGTATAGCTGAGGATTCGACTCCCGACCACCAAGACGATCAATGCGCTGGCATATCCGATAATCCGGTGGAGGTCTTCGTATAATCAAGCCTTTCATCTTCGATTTGTGGACCGCTCTATCGTTATCAGTCACTTCAAACATTCTCTTTCGGACACCTGAATCCAAAGTATAAGGATACCACCGGTCATGTGTGTGCCATTCTAACTTCTTGCACGCACGTTGTAACTTTTCTGAGCTGAGTTCGTCCCAGGGCTCCTCGGGATTACTGATGAATTTGACTCGAGAGCCGGATCTTGGTTCTGTCAAATTCTGATTCATGTCGAGCAGACCTCCAAGAACAATTATATCGATTTTAATGCCGTCGGGAGGAGGGTTTTTGCTATTCCAGTCATCGATGTAATCTCCGATATATGTGATTTGCCTCTCCACCGAATGGGATGTTTTATGTACGTGGTTTTTCTGACTGGAGTTTTCATTTCGATGTTCGCTTCTATGTGGTAACAGAGTTCTTTTTGCATGTTGCGAATCCTGTGGACGACCTCTTGAAGATCCATCATTCGGCGCTTCCCTCTGATAGCTTGTGTTAGTCTTGTTGCTCTTCGATGATTTTTTTGTGTGACTGGTATGTTTCTTATGGCGGGAACCCTTTATTTTGCGAATGATAAATTTCAGCAACCCCATACCGAGATGTGAGGGCTATTCCAAGTTAGTATATGGCGGTTCATGCGATTGTTAAGTCATAAGGCAGTATAATATTACCTCGATCTACTTAAGACGACAACACGTCATGATTCCCGTATGGGAACAGAAGAATCCTTTTTACCAGTGAAACAAAGAGAGAAATCAAAAGAAATGAAAGAAAAATGGGCCAAGGAGTTTGATTAGTACTTCTAACCTCAACTTATGCAACTAGAATAAGCCGCCTTAGAAAAGAAAACAGGACTTGGAAAGTTTTGCTAGGAGACAGGAAAAAGAATGTTGTGAGTGTAGAACAAGCTATGCAAACCTTGAAATCAAACGAAAGTTAATGTTGGAAAATGTTAGGAATCCAACAGAGAGAGAATCCTCCGTTGTATTAATATTTGACTGCGGAAAAGAACTGCTCGAGATCAAGATCAGGCCTTCATGACCGCCACCCTAAACGAGGAACACTTCTTGCATAAAGACCTGTAAGGTGACCATGGCAAACAGAGTCTGAATGCAATAACGAATGATGATGTATATTGTTAAAGGGTCAGGCAGGCTGTGACCAACATGGCCACCACTATACACCGCCGTCTCCGTATTCGATAGTTTGGCGTCTCAAATACTTTCTGATTAAAAGAAATTAGGCGCCCTAATACCCACAATAACTGAGGACCAAATTGGTTCTCGGTTGGTGGAAGTCTACATAGCAAATGGAAATACATCTCGATCATGGGTGAAGATACGGTTCAGATAGGCGCCACGAAGCATCTTGAACATGTAGTTGAACACCACAATTTAGAGAATGAAGTTGTATGTAAGTATGATATAACGATAATCGGTGTAAATTCTCAAGATAATGATACAATCGACGAACATATAGTCGTAAAGTTGATGAAGGTACCATCGTGAACATCTCGCTCGTTGTTATTGTTGTTGTTGTTGTTGTTGATGATTTGGGTAAAGTTGGTTTGTTTCGCTTGAGGTTATCGACGGAGGATCGGCATAGAAATGCCGACCTGATCATTACATAAGCATAGATTTGTTCCTCACAAAACCCAGTGACCAAAGCAACCTGGCTCGCTGGGCACCACAGCTCACGGTCGACCAGGTAGAATTTTTGTATGGTCGACCAAAACCCTGAGAACCAAAATAAAGGTATTTCTCTTCTAATCAGATTTTTGCTTGGATAGGATAAAGGTATATCCTCTCTATTTCAATGACGAGACAGAGGGCCAAAGAAAGGGTCGTAGTAAATGGATGATATAAGCTGACGGAGATACACCCCGGAGGACGGAGATTCATTAATTATATTAAATGGCAGTTTTCACATCGCCCAACTTATTTCAACCAGGCTTTGCTTTCTGCTCTGAAGTTCTTTCTCTGAAGTTCTTTCACTGAAGGAAGTCCGCCACAATCGAATCTCTGTCTCCCTCTATCAAACCACCAACAATGGTTAAAATTCCAGAAATCTACCAAGCAAACGCTAGCTTCGGCAAAGACGATGACAGTTCCCAAGGTCTCATATGTGTATTTGCCGGAGCAACAAGCAACATCGGTGCTTCTGCTCTCGAAGCACTAGCAGAGATGTTGCAATCCCCCACCTTTTACGTGCTGGGGAGATCAGCGACGAGATTCGCTACTCAACGCGAGAAGCTCCTCAGTTTAAACCCTCAAATGAAGCTCGTCTTTTTCGAAGTCGAAACGTCATTAATCTCCGATATCGATGCAGCTTGTAAGAAGATTCTGGATGCTGAAAAACGAGTGGATTATTTGTACATGAGCCAAGGATGCATTCCCTTGAACGTACCACAATGTATGCAACCTCAGCAACTCTTTTCTGCTATGCTATTTGTGTCTAATATTCTCTAGATACGAAAGAAGGTTTGGAAATAACTTTCGCCCTGTCGTACTATACACGGATGCGACTCCTAACTAATCTTCTTCCGTTGCTACGCTGTTCTACACGTCCGCGTGTTCTGAGCGTCCTTAATGCGGGACAAGAGCTGAAAATGCAAGATGAGGATATCGGTCTTCAGACTCCCGGAAACTTTGGCCCTCGCGTAGCTATTAACCATACTACCACGATGATGACGCTAGGATTGGAATATTTGTCACAAAGTGACGCAAACCAAAATATCACTTTTATACACTCATTTCCTGGGTTGGTAGCTAGCGACAACTTTTCTCGATTGACTGCGCCAAACTCTTTTGGTCTGCTTGCAAGGATTCTGGTGCCGCTCATTGGCAATTTCTTTAGTGTTATACAGAAGATCTTTGGTATCTCAACAGCAGATTGTGGTGCGAGGCAAGCATTTCTATCAACAAGTGATAGGTTTGAGGGGGGCAAGACATGGAGGATAGATGATAAGAGCGAGGTTATAACTTCTTTGAATGATGCATTAGAATACTATCGAGAAAGTGGTTGGCGAGAGAAGGTCTTCACGCACACTTTGCATGTCTTTGAGAAAGCGACGAGTGCTGGATAGTTAACAATTTCTGTGTGTTGTTTTCTTCTCGCTAGCCCTATCATGCCCCATTGATGAAACTCCTCCAGCGCGAGTCTTAGCTTCTCCACGAACTTGCAATATAGATATACTATAACAAAGATACTACTATTGCGACGAGTTGCATAACATGCAATCTGCTCTGCACATTGACCTACAGATATTTCCCAATACATAAAGACGCTCTTGAAACGAATTCCAAATTCCAAAAGTGTTCAAAAGCTCTATACTTTTCGTGAAAAGAGAGAATCTTTTTGCCCTGACGCAAGGTTTGTATTCGAAACTTTCAGAATAGCGAATTTCTTTATCAATTGCTTATCTTCCGATACAGAATTTCACATCGTACAGCTAGCTAGCCATCCCCTCAATCGCCACCATGGCACTGCAGAAACTCCCAGCCCAGACGAAAATGAGCGTGGAAAGCTCTCTCAAGTAAGAAACCCCGTTGCTTCATTCTCCACATTCTACCATCATCCTCGAAAATCACCCTTCGTGAAACTTCCGAGTAACCAACAATACAATATCTAACTGCCTCATCATCATCACAGGAAACTCCCAACAGAAAACACAACGCCAATGCTATCACACTACCTCCATAGTCCAAATACAGCCGTCGAACGTCTGGCGAACAATTTGCCCGCATCTTCGAGCAGTAGAAGCGAGAGGAAGATGAAAAAAATGTTGAAGGATCTAATGGATGTGGTTGGGGAATCGCATAAGTGAGAATGATGATGAGGAATGTTGGGGGGATGAAGCTCAAATTAGCGAGTGTGAATAGTCAGAATAGAGGTTATGAGGTACAGGAATGGGGAAGTAGAATGTATACTATGGCCAGTATATATTCGAAATGAAACTTATCACCACTATTCGAAGCTTTTTTAATATTTTTTTCCCTGGTGGATGTAGAACTGAGAATCCTTCAAGGAGAAGAAACTTAGGATTGTGTGGAGTCATTTAGTCCATTGCAGTGGTCTTATCTCAATTCCTCAAAGGTCATGGCTGGGAGACAAATGAGAATATTTTCATACAGTTTTGTTTGCTGTTGTATCATTTATCACGGCTGAGTGTAAATATTGATCTTGCAAGCTGCTTTTCATTACTGTGAGAATCTTCATACCCGTTGTATGGAATTTTCTATCGTTGGCCCTACGACACGACCTAAAGATTCTGCCGAATCAAGCCTACTCCCTATCAGGCGCTATTACTTTCTTCATCTGTGTTATGATTCTGATCTTGGTAGTTGTTAAAGATGGGTTCTTGTTGTAGTTGAAAATACTGACTTTGGTCCAGGTCAAAGATACTGTAAAGGCTAGTCGAACTCAGAGGATCTTCGCTTGAGGCATGTACTTGGCGAGTTTGAGTTATATCGTCGCTATCGGCTTGCGCTCCTGGGGTCAGAATTGGCACGTTTATTGCAGTTTCGTGTTCTCTCACCATGGATCCAGCGACCTCCGTTACAGTACCCCGACTAAAGTCATCATTAAGTGAATAGCCTTCGTAAAAGCCAGAGTCGCTGGAAGGCTCCATCATGAAATCAGGTAGCGAGTAATCGAAAGGCATCATTGGAATGTTATCATGACCAAGTGGATTTCGTCCAAGAGGTGGTTGTTGATACAGGTCATTCTGAGAAGTCTCGGGATGCTGTCGCTCTGAAACTTGGGAAGACCTTCTCGGAATCGTTCCAATAGTGGTTGTCCCGGAAGATCCGGTCTGATGCCTGTTGATGATGTTCAATATAGCACTGATTGCGTCTTGGCTTTGAACATGTTGGGAAAGCTCGGTCCGGAGGGATGAATCCTGAAGTCGTGAGAGAGCACAAGACTCGTCATATAGCCTTCTGTTTATGTTCTCCTCATGCCCTGCACTCAGACATCAGGAAGTGTTTCAATTGTCTGCGTTGATTGTCACTTACATGGTGTTGGCATGCTTGCATCATCGGTCTTTGGAAACAGTATTCTGTACACTGCTACCCAATACTGTGCCTTGTCCGAGTGATTTCTCTTCTCTGTTCGCTTCTTAAGCTTTTCACGTTGAGACTCATCAAATCCATCAGCGTAGTCCCGTTGAAACATCGCGGCACATATTGGAATGTCGTAATGCTCTTGGAGCTCAATCTCGCCATCGCAAATCAAATTACACTTTCGACATATCTTTAGTAAATGTACCTTGTAAAGATGCTGCCTATCTCGGAGTTAGCATGTCAAATTGGTGACAAGAAGAAAGGTTTCCTACTTCAGTCTATGGATATCTGGGTAGCCGGGAGGCCTACAGCAAGCCCTGCTGGATCCGTATCTTCCCGGATCATGCTTAAAGTAAGGGCAAGCAAGATTTAACCCAAGATCACTCATAGTAGGATCTGCTGAAGAAGTGGACTCTAACGCAGGCTGTTTGTTGGGTCTATCGCCAGAACCACTTCCACCAGGACCGCTATTTTGAAAGTCCTGATGTGATCTTTTCTTACACCCATTGCCGGAGCTTCCAGAAGCACCTTTATTGCAATTACCAGAACTCGACTGTCCGTTTGCCTCCGAGCCTTGCATGCAAGTACGTAGTCTGATTGCTAGATCTCCTAGAATTGAGCTACCAACCCGATCAGGCCAAGAAGTGGACTGTGGTGCATCATTCAATGCGGATAATTTCTTGGATGGTTCACCCATCTTGGCGCCATGCTCCAGCAAAATTTTGATAGTTTCGTGTCGACCTTTGTATATGGCATAGTACAGCGGCGTCTGCCCCTTAGATCTATCGATAACATTCGGGTCGGCACCACGGGCAAGAAGTAGAAATGCAATAGCTGTATGTCCATACCCGGCAGCAAGGTGAAGAGCCGTACATCCCCAATACTGATCTATGGAGTTAATAGTGGCACCTTTCTCCAGTAGGTGTTTTACAAGCGACATATGTCCTCTTGCTGCCGCGATAGAAAGCAAGGAAGTGCCGGACCAAGAAACCGCTTTTTCCATAAGTATCTTGACTATTTCAACATTGCCTTGTAAAGCTGCCCATTCCAGTGGAGAGAGACCATAACGATTGTCTCGAGTAGTGATGCTTGCTCCTGCTTCCAGGAGAAGTTGAAGAACAGATATGTGATTGTTCTCAGCGGCCAGGGATAAGGCAGTACGCCCGCACGCATCTCTGGTATCAAAGCTCTGTACTTCTCCGAGTTCTTTAATAGTTTGAACAAGATTGTAAATTCCAAAAGCAGCGGAGATATGGAGAGGTGTCCATCCTTCTAGCATGTACTTCGATGAATTCCTTGAATTTACATGCTTTTGATATTGGGAAATCCAAAATTTCAATAATTTTGGTGACCGCGAATGCAAACTTTTGAAAAGAGGCTGATACGATATGCCAGAGCGATCAGCTGCTCTTGCATGTTCAACCCAGTGAACGACCGCATATTGCAAGAAACCAGAGTTGTCGAGATCAAAATTTACGCTTGATTTGTCGTCGAGAGATCTAAATGCCAAATAGTTGACGCATACTTCGGCAATAGAAATGTGCGTGTTGTTGAAGTATCTGGCATCAGAATACCCTAGTTGAGAAGTCTCCGAGGCGGCTCTTGATATCAAGAATTCTCGAACGCTTAGATGAACAAGGGAAACGATTCCATCGGGTCCTTTAACCTCTAATAGTCCATGACAAGATGCGATTAGAACATCAATACTTCCTTGGTATGGCGACAGTGATTGATCTTGAGCAATGTGCCGAGAGCTTTGACTTGATAATGTTATCGACCGTTGGTAGACATCCAAAGCAACTTTCAATTCCCTCAGCGAAAATCGTCGTCTAGCAAACACAACCCAACCTAGAACTCTTAGTGCAGCCCTTGACTCCACCCGAAGTACGTATTCGTAAATGGCGTTGTATACATCATCTAAGCTTTTGGGAAGTCGCGAAACTGATCTATTAGTGGCATTCTCTTCGTAATGTGTCAACTCTCGTAGATTATGCATGACAAGTTTGACCCAGAGAAAAGTACCAGATGCTCCCTCTAATAATGTATCGGAGATCTGCTTCTGATTAGTAAAATCTGGAAATTGTGTTAACATTTTGAAGAAAATAAATTGCTGTAAATCTGTTTGATTTTCATTCTCTAGAACAATTCTGTGATATGGTAAATGGGAGAATGCTTCTTCGTACATCAAACCGGGCCGAGATGTAATAAATATTTTGATTGAATTTTTCAATGTAATCGAATTGAGAAAATACAGAAGAGACATAACGGAAGATATTTCTCCGCTGGAACATTCGTCCAGGGCGTCGATGACGATATATAATTTATGGGCTTTGGCGGTTCCTTCTAAACACGTCCCCAAGAATTCTTCTGTGAGTACGGCCTGAGAAATCCACTCCCCCCAGCTATTGCGGGGCTCTTCAACCTTGTGATAGCAATTTCGCTTTTGATCAAGCAAAGAAAGCAGATCCGACAAGGGACTCAAATTCTTTGACATAATCTGAAAGATCAAAGAGCGTAGTAGATTACGCGCGGAAGTATCAGGGGAATCGTAATGGAAAAAATGGTGGAGTAAAATTGCAGGCTGGTCTTCCAAAGTGTGATTTTCAAAATCTTCGATAAAGTTAGAAGCAAGTGTCGATTTACCAGCGCCAGAATTTCCCTGGATCCACAAGACAGAATTCCGATCACTCGCTAGCCATGACCTGAACTCTTCATTTTCCAAAAGCCACTTGCCGGATCCAGACGCTGCAGAGTTGGCAATTTGTGGCCTTTGTGTTGCTAGCCAACGAAGTATTTCTGTCAAAGTTATACACTATTCAACGAATCATTTAGAATTTACACACCTTGCTGATGTTCTTTTAGGTTCGGTACGCACTCTGCGCTTGGGTTGAGGATTCTTTTGAGTGTTGCTAATACTCGCTTGAATTTTGGTTCACCGACACTTGTGAACTTGCAGATCGTCTTAATAAACACATTAGACGACATAATACTAGAATAATCGTTTGGAAGGCTCTGAATCTTACTTGATGGTCTGAATGAAGCAGAACGCTATTTGAAAAACTATTCAATGATGATGTACCGTCAACCACCTGTTTGGTTAATCAAGATATTTCCGTTAAGGCCTTTTGCCACTTACCATTCCGAAGTTCGCGACGGGTAACTCCTCAAAAAAAAAATCAATGCTGAATTTAAACGACTGCTGAAGCCGGAGGAGCTCAAAATCCTCTTGAATCTGTCTTAGCTGCGCAGAGGTATCGTCCAGGTTGCGATGAAATTGAGATTCGCATACGAAATCTTCACTGATTCCCTGACATTTTCTCACACCCGAGAAATACTGGAGGATGTTGAAGATACCTTTGTGGTCTATATGGGAAGGTGTAGCAAAGAACAGTATAGCAGCAGTGGAACGCTTGATGGAGAAGAAATCGGCTCGAGCCCCTGTTGACGCGGCAATCAAGGCTTTCTGGACGACAAGGCCACCAAGACTATGGGCGAGGAATACTATAGGTCGCATTGGAGCCTAACATTGTTTGAAGTATTAGTGACGCAATGACTAGATGTGATATAGTGTACAGGTAATGATAAGAGAAGCTTCTTCGGCAATTAGAAAGATAGATTGCACAACGCGAGATAGAAATAGACTAGCCTCTTGCTGTGGGGCTCGAAAGGCTGTGAGAGATTCGAGCAAGCTTTCGGCATAAGCTGAAATATCTGATCCTCTCGAGTTGACAAGAGAAATCGCATCACTTTGGTAGCCAAAAGTGAGAATCCTCGCAGCAGGCAAGCTTTTAGGGAGAAGATCATACAACCAGAGCATTTCTGGTCCCTTCTCATTCTCCGAAACCCAGGTAGTAGCCGCGCCCTGAAGTCCGTGTACGAATACTATATCGACGTTACCATGAGCTTCACCCCCAAATTCGTCACCTGGATGGATTAGGCTCAAGCCTGTAGTTTCTGCCATTGGGGATTAAGGAGGAACCTACGTAACTGTCAGGTATATTTCAGCAAAAGAATCGCGCAAACGAAATTTGGGGAAATACCCGATCACTTGTATAAAATTGCGATATCAAATAAGCATGCGAAAAGTGCAACAAGAAGAACAATGGTTTGGTGGAGGGATAACCTTGACGCGATTGTGATCTTAACTACTCGTGAATAATAGCATTGCCACCACGAGTTTTGCGAGTTTCGCATAACTTTTCCAGTGCAATAGTACCAATGGAACTTGCCATGTACGTGATGCTGGGGCTGCAAGCGCCAGGGAACACCATTTCATTGAGACACGGGATGTTGAAGGGACGGGATTGAACATATATTTACTCGTATACCAGGTTTAATTGGCTGCAACAGTTTCTGTATCCTGATGCACTGCGAGGCAAATTCAAAGGCAGACTCCTGCTATATCACAGCCACACAGAGAGGCCGAATGAAGAACCAGCACCTGGATATCCCAAGCCATGTTATCTGAGGATTATCCAATAAAGAAGATATATAATCATTGAATGTAGAGACGATGATAAATAAGATGACTGGCCGAGGGGAGAACAAGATGTAGCCATCTGCTAGTCTACCCAGTTGGCCCGTGCGAGACAAATTATCTCGTGACTTTTGCGAATAGGATGAGTGAGAATGCCCTCCATTCATTCCTTGGGCCCGTATACTACGAGTTGGTTCTGCTTCTATTTTTCTACTCACTCCGTCACTGTATAGTTCGCATATATCAACAATTGTTAGAACGTGATATTAAATCATCGTCGGAGTATATATTTATATGTGTTGAATCGATTCATTCGTTTATTCAAGCAATAATCCCGGGAGTATCATACCAGCTATCCATCCATCCAAGACGCTATCCATAAAAACAGGTATACTCATACAATACATGAGCCCTAATGTGCTCAAAAAAGGAGACCGCGACCCTTTCATCCGCCATGCCATGCAATACCATGCAATGTATTTAGCAATCCATTCCCATCCCATATGAACCTAGCCTAGTCAAGCTTTCGTAATCATTATCTACACCTCACTCCTGTTTCCAGTCCCATTTTCCTTACACCCTCTACCACCCAATTCAGACCCAACCAAATCCTAACCAACCACACCTTTCAAGCTCAAACTCTCCAAAAAGCCCCCCAAATCCTCCTTCTTAACCTCCACCACACAATGTTCAAAGCTATCAATCCTCACCCTCGCGTTCGTCTCCTCTACCACCTCCTGAAACGCATTCCCGAATTTGTTCCTTCCAAACCCCTTTCCTCTCTCCTGTTCATCTTCATCTTCATCTTCTTCCTCTTCTTCTGATTCCGACTCCGAAGATTCTTCTTCTGTTTCGTCGTCTTCTTCGTCATCTTCTTCTTGACCTCGCTCCGCTCGTGCTGCTTGTTTTGCCGCACGTTTGTCATCACGGATTTTGTCTTTATTTCTCCTCCTCAGAGCTCTTGCCGCTTCTTTTTCTTCCTTCTTCTTCGCCTTTTCCCTCGCAGCTTTCTTATCACCAAAGCCCCACCCACCTATTCCACCCCCTCCCCCGCCAGTACCAACAACCACATAAACGCCCCTGACTTCGTTCAAACCCGCAACAACCAATGGGGTACCTCTCCCACCATTTCCTAGCTTTCCTTTGCTTTCTCTTTCCTGTTCCGCAATCGCTTCACCGATCCAGAGTGCGAGTTTGGTAAGCGCAGCTGGATGAGTGAATAGTTGGACATCTGGGCCATCTTTTACTACTGCCATGCGGAAGGCGCGTAAATGTTTGATTTGTCGTTTTTCAATTAGTGAGGTTCCCGTGCGGAGAATTGCGCGGTGGAGATGTTGAGCTATGGGAAGAGCGAGTTTGAGTTCCTCGATTCTGTTTTTATGGTGTAATCAGTATTGAAATCTTATCTTCTCACAGTCAGGGATAATGGAGGAATAGACGAAACAACAAGGGGGAATGCTTACTTTTCAAGGGCATCATAAGCATCCCAAAATCTCCCAACCCATTCCTCACCCTCCAAAACACCATCTTCATCACTAGTCTCCTTAGTCTCTCGACTTCGATCCCATGCACCATTCTCTAGAGTGGTGACTGCCTTCTTCCCAACCTCCAAGATTGATCCCACTACAACACCAACATCCTGAGCACTAAGTGTTGCCTTCCAACCCCAACTTCTGACGAAACCCCATCCTTCTTTTGAGCCTCCGCGATCTCTTCCATCTGTGTCTGCACTTGGGACAAGATCGTCTAGTCCATAAAGTTCCGAGTATTTTAATAACTTTGTTCGAAGTCCTCGTTTAAGCTCCATATCCATGTGAGTATAACTCTGCTTGCATTGAACAAGACTTACTCCCATCTTTGCCAGTAATTTATGTAGTCGCTTTCGCCCACTATCTGACCAAATGTGCAATCTCGCTGATAAGTATGGAGAGTGCAACATGCTATCATATAGACTCCAATGTCTAATGAGGAGAAATTTTGGCTCTGGTGATAGACGGATACTTGTATCCGTTGGACTTCGCGCTGTTGTCGGTATTATGCCACTGTTTTCTGGTGACATATTTCGATTCGAATTAAAAGCCGAGTCAGAAAGCTCTGGGGGATTAAGGCGTCGTACTTCGTCTCGCAGAAGTTGTCGTGTTCGTGATCCTCGGGAGCCTAACCATCCTGACGGCGACGACTTTTGTGTACTTACGGCGATTCCGATTGCCGATCGACCATACAATTCTTGAGAGCTGACTCCAACTATTGTCATCCAGAGAAGATCGTTATCTTCTCTCCCCAATTCTGATGCCAAGGAATACATCATTGAAGATATCGGTTCGGAATATGATGCACCGAGATTATAATACGTTTGGAGAACCATTTCATTCTTTCGACGCAATCTTCGTAATCTTCGCCGCAATGCTCTTGGGGAGGGTGGTTTAGGGAGTTGTGCTGGCGAGGGCGATACGGACCGTGAATGTGAATCTGAGAATATTGTCGGGTCGTTTAGTGATAGTAGTCCACGTTGAGGAGCACGAGTTGGAAATTCTGGAATTGGACTTGACTAGTATCATTGTTAGCAGGCATAGATTAATAAACTCTAGGATACCTACCGAGTTGCTTCTCCGCCTCTGCCGTGGTCTATCATCCTCGACGTCAGTATCATCTTCCTCATCTCGATCCGACCAAGACTTTCTCTTTTTCCCTGGCAGCTTAACTGGAGTTTCTTCATTGGCATCGCTCTCGCCTTCTGTTTCGCTACCCTCGCTATCATCTTCATGATCTTCAATCTCAGGCATTTCTACTAATGCCAAGTATGCGTCCTTCTCCGCTTTCATATCTTCTTCAATATCCCCGTCGTCAAAGACAATAATCCCACCTTTACCTGGCTTATAATTTCTTGCAATCATTCCACCAACTACACCCTTCGGTGGTTCAGATATAATTTCTCCGCCTTCTACTTCATGCGATATCAATGGAAAGCCCCCGAAGACATTCCCTAAATTCCAAGGTCGTCTTGCATCCACGACCCAAACTTCTACACCACCATAACTGGCCTCGTCTGCCTCTGAATCAAAGCCCAACAACGCTCCCAGATCAACCAAGCCTCCGACACCTAAGCAAACCACAACACCCCCACTACCTCCATGATTTCCATCATGGGTTGTATAACATTCTGCCCCGCTTTCTCCAGATCTCCATATCCAGCAATTGGTTGTATCTTGTGAGGAATATAATCGCGTTTGAGAAGTTGGGTAAGAATTCGACATCCGCATAGGGCGTCAGGTTCGAGAGCAACGAGTATAAGGACTGGCGGAGATAAAGGATGATGAGTCTTTTGAAGGTGGAGATATAGTGTGGCAAGTTGTGAGCGTGGTAAATACATGTTGAAAGATGCAGAACGCGTCAAATAATGTGCCAATTATGGCAGATTATATTGCACCTCTGCTGGAGTCAAATTCCAAGTCTGCGGTTCGTCTTTAAGTGTAGTTAGGGACGCGTTTCGATATCCGGAACTGGTTGGACTTATTGTGCGAAAGACGACATTGAAACTTTGTGGATCTTAGATTTAGTGCCAGAATCGAATTCTCGTATATTCAAATATCAAAATGAAATGTATTATCATGAATTATATTGGTTGTTAAAAAATTGTGGGCGTTTTGAAATGTATGGGTGTAGTCGTAATTGATTTATGAGAAAGTCGCGATTTCACTTGGACGCGCTTTCGCTAAATTTCATGCAAGGTTGATTATTCTTTCACATCCAACCGCTCAACTCATTTCATTCCGTCTCACCTCTCAGACAACATACATATGCTTTCACTTCACACAGCCATCAGCAGCAGCAGCAGCAGCAGTACCATCATGATCTCTATCTACCGTGGTATTTCCACTTATATATGTGAGCATGAATTAACCATTCACTTGTTTAAAAGGATGAATATATGGTGCGTTTTTGGATTCAATCGTCGCAATTCGTCGCTCATCGTGCTACGGATATCATAAACAATCGTCTGAAAAGTATAGCAACTTGCCTATTACTCTTTTCACAGGTATGGCATGGAGAATCGCAAACATCAGACGACATATATCGTGGGTAGAGATTGAACGATTTGCTTGTTCTGGATAAATCAATCGAATTTATCACGGTACACAGTGAGTAATGATGTACTGTTAACTGTTCGCTTCAACTCTGAACATCTCTACTTGTTACCACAACCATGCTTCATATATTGAGGGTATCTTGAAGATAATTGCCCTCTCATCCGACTGTCTGCTCCTCTAATCCTCTGTTGTTCCCACTGCCATTAAACAAATTAAATTCGGAATTAGGAAATTTCCCTTCGCTCCAGAGATTATATATCCGAGGACTTTCTTCTTGCTTCTCCTCTTGTTTCCTCTTTTCGAACCTATCACGGAGTTTTCCCATCTTGATTTCATCTTCTTTCAACCATTCCTCGGAATGACCTTCTACTTTCTGTCCTCCACTCGACGCAGCATCTGCGTTGATCCAATCTACCAATTCACGAACATACTCAGGTTCTCGTCCTTCATTTAAAGCATGAAAAGCTCTCCCGAACCCCTTTTCTATTACCCTAAATCTATATTCTTTTCTCATTTCTTCCTCGCGTGGTAAGTATGCTTTGCCAGCGAATACAGCCGCGAGTGTAATGGCTTGGAACTCGAACAAGGAAAAGGTCGACACGTAATATGCTGTACCGACAAATGCAAGTGTTGGATCTGGTATATAGAATATGTCTTTGTGAAGATTGTGGACTTGCGTTCCGTCAGTTACAAGGACCGTTTCATTTGCTTCGGCCGGGGATATCAAATCGTTATGATACGGATGCAGAAACGGATACGAAATATGATATCCTGTGCAAATTATTACTTTATCAATATCACTGAGCGTTGTCCCATCTTTCAAGTGAGCGACCCCTCGGCCTTCATTACTCGTCTCGAACTCAAAAGACACGCATTCTCCAACTCTCTTCGCGCTTGGAGGTAAAAAACTAAGTGGAAGGTCAAATTGACCACCTCGGGTGGATTGATAAACTGTCTTGGCTACGCCGTTGATCTCTCTAGCAATGTCTGTCGAGGATACACTCCCCCAATTAAAAGAACGTTCTCACAAAAGTCAGTTAATAGTAGTGCTATTGAGTGCTATTACTTACCTGGCCTGCGAGTTCTTGAGGTCTCCTGTATGCTTTTGAGTGCATAACTCTTCCAGGATAATTTCTCTTCCATTCCTTCAATCCTTTGATATCAGGCACTCTGTTGGCGTGATAATGTCCACTTGCCACAACTATTTTGTCAAATGCCTGCAACGAGTCAGTATTCGCTTGCAGATGCCCACGCGGCAATTTACCTCTTCATGTTCCAAGAACTCCACATTTCCGTCTTGAGTTCTGTTCAGCAGCTTTGATCTCACAATCCATCTCCCATTTACTTTCTTGATCGTTTCGACTTTTGTATTGTACTTGAGGAAACGTTCTAGGTGAAATCTTTTGGCATAATCGTTCAGATATTCACCAACAACCTTCACATTGACGAAATCACCTGTACCCTCCTTCCACGGGTGGTCTTTCATTTCTTGGAGTTTAGTTGAGATGTTTGTTGTCAGACCAAAATATGCAGGACCTGGTGGTGCGTGCTTCAATTTGAGTATTTCTTCCCGAGAAAATTCTGATTGCGACGTAGCATCCTCGCAATCTGAATCCGCCTCTGAGTAGAGGCCTGCAACTGATGGTAAAACTGATGGATATCTGTATTCAAGCGGCTTTCTTTCATCATATGCCCTAGCTTCTCGTATTAATTTCAGTCTTTTACTCGCGGGCTTTAAAAAGAACTAGGTATAGAAATCTAACTCACCAAACGCCTCCGGGTTTTGAGGATCGTTCAAAGATCGTCACGTCAAGTCCATAATCTATGAGATGTCTCGCAGCCGCTAGTCCACTGACACCCGCACCGATCACAGCAACTCTTTCAAACTTTAAGCCCATGTTACGTTTGTATGCTTCCAGATCAAAGTGAATCCAATCCCACATTCAAATTATAACAGGAAAATAGTTTTGACAAAGTTTCGTGCTATCTTCGCGTGGTCCATTAATTATTATACGAAAAATCAACCTTGACGCTGTTATCAGAATGCGAAGTCAAATGTTTTTGAATGCGGTCATGCATTGATATCTATATGCTTTGCACTTATCCCTGGATGGAGTTCCGAAATATTGTGTGATGGCTGCAGCCATCTCGCCATATTTCGCTTCCGCACACTGATTGACCAATGACATCAAGCATTTTGGGAACATCCCCCGCAAGGGTAGTAATACGTTTGACGTGATTGCAGGCTTTCATAACATACCACGGATACAACGGGATCTGCAAATGTTTCAAGAATGTCCATTTATTTGGTGATTGCTTTGGGAAATATCTAGCACGTAAAGAAGTCACATCGGTATCACGTGGTTCGTAGTACAACGACGACACTGCGTTTCCTGAAGTGACAGAAACCGATTCGTTTCTCCATTTCAAACAGTGAAAAGCGATGAATGATTAGGGGCTGATTTTATCTCTTGATGGTACTGGGTATAGCGATATCATACTCACTGTTATACAAAGCTTGTGCAGTGAATCGACGGCCCAGGAACGGTGAATATTTTCTTTGCAATATCAATTGCACAATGGCATTTTTAAGTGTTATTAATAAAAAATCTTTTAGGATTCAGATAGGAGAATATTCAAGAGGTCCTATGGAAATCAAGTCAAGTGTGTGTACCTTTGGGATAGTGCTTGGAAGGCCACACAGCAAAGGGTTTCAATACGAAGGGTCTTTGTTGAACCACAACTTTGTTATTTGGTTCATCACTCCAAACACTTTTTCTCAAAGCTTTGAAACCTGTGATTTTCCAGTATGCTATGAGAGTGGGTTTAAGAGGCAATGTGAAAGATGTGATGTTGATGATGGCCGAAGGTCAAAATAATTTCTTATGATACCAAGCCGTATTCACTACTCAATTGTTTCATCTCACCCTCTCAACAAATTTTCCCCAATCTTGTCTTTTCGTTTCGTTGTTTACCATCGTCACAAATAATTAGTCAGAAGGTCTCATTGTGCCGCCACAGCGTCAAGTGCGATCTTTAGCTGAGTCTCTTATCCACTGGTCTCTGGTCTCGTAGGCACTTCGAGAGCCGTTATTCATGAAATTTGGCAGCCGTATTTTTCAACTACCAATACTGCCACAGCGGTAGACCCTCACGATAAGCATACCGTAACAGAAAGCCAACATAGCACTTCATTCTCCGCAAAAGCTTCACAAACACAGAGCTATCACAATCCCTCACAAAACAACATATCGATCTCCTCCTCGCGACCGCGTTCACACTAAGCACAGCGCTTGCTCTTTATTTCACGATGAATTCTACAATGTGTCCATCATTCCTTGAAGACTCGGACCTCAGCGGTGTAAGTCTCATTTTTAAGCCATGGCATACTCTCGTCTTCTAACCAGAATCACATTTATAGTCTGCGGTGACGCTACTCATTTGCGCAGTGATTGGCACAGTGTGTTTCTTCTCTATATGGGAAAGGCGCAATTTGCTATATTTTCACTTCTAGGCGTTTTAAGAATAATAAAGTCGGGGCTGGGGAGGAAAAGGGACGAGGGTGGAATGGAGTTGACTTGCGGGACATGATGGATAAGAAGGCGTTTGGAGTGAACATTATCTTGTTTGGGCTCTGCGCCTATGATGCGGAGTTCCTTGTTTGGAAAGATTTCTGGGTGGTTTCTCGGGATCTGTCAAGCATAGGTTGTCAGGTGTCCATGATATCAAGGCTATGCCAACCACCAATACACAAGGTCAACAAGTCTCTTTCACATCACTCTCAATGTCAAGGACTCGCAGAAAAAAGAATTGTGGGCAACTCTGATCCTTATTGTGCTCGTGGCAGTAATTATGTTTGATATCAAATCTGGTGACTCAGAAACACGAAAAAGGAATACATTGAGCAACCTACTCTATGTAGTACATATCTATTTTCTCTCACTTATATTAACCCTCATCGGCAGAATTGGCTATTCAGCAATATACATATTGTACATTGCAAAAGTTGACAATGGCGAGGAATGCTTAAAGGTTATTCCACTCATGTTCTGGAGGTAGATATTGTTAGTGAATACCACAAAATTCAAGATCATGTTAATTGGATGAATTCTGTCTATAAAAGACATTCCCTCCAGTTCATTATCATTATTCCTTCTACAACTATTTATTATCAGCATCTGTTCCTCACAAGATATCTTCTTCTGGTCCTTCAATATCTTCCATTATATACATACTTCCTGCATCAAACACAAGCAGAAGATTGTAAGAGGTGTGATATGTTTATGTTATGAATTGAAAATTGACACCTCTCAATGGGTTCATTCAAGAATTACACTGTAGGACTACAAAATCTCAATCCAAGAGGAATTTCCTTTCGAATTCCTTTCACTTTCCTTTGCAATCTTTACTCTTCTGATCCGAAGATGGACCAGGAAGATACTGGTCTATCCGAAGGTGAAGCTGTCGCGTCGCGTCACGAACAATTATTCCGTTCCGAAGCCATCCTCTTCCCATAGCAGTCTCGACTCAGCTTCTTCTTCTTCTTCTTCTTCTTCTTCTTCTTCTACTTTTCAACAAAACAACTTCGAACATTTACACCTTTCTCCCATCCATTGATCAATAAGATAGATCGACAGCAAATAACATGGACATAGTCGAAGTAACCATGGAGGAAGAAGAGACAATAGTTCCAAACAAGGAGGAACAACAGTCGATTCAAATCCATGATGATTATAAGAATTCTGGTGCTGTTGCTCAGTGGGAGCAATTCGTAAGTGAATTTTAGAAACCAATCCAAGAATTCAACTATTCTTTTCCCTTACTGGAGAGTCCTATACTAACTTTCGATGTTTTATTATAGTTAAAGTCGGCTCACTACAGCTCAACCCTTCCTGCAGGATATCTCGAAGTTGACAAACTCCAAGATGACCCAACATTCTGCATCCAAACCTTCCTTCCCCCCTTGGAAATGGAAGCTCGGTGTGCAACTCTTATTGCACAATTCCACTCCTTCAAGGGCATTCCTCAGCAAAGTCGACTACGTGTCTCCGATCTTGCTTACTACAATCTCGCACATGACACTGCGGAGACCGAAGTTTGGCGTGGAATTCTCAACTTTCGTCAACCCGATGCGACATGCATCAAAGCTGTTCCTCAATCTCAACAAAGCGGAGATAGCTCCATCGAAGAAGATCGTGCTAGGGCAAGCTGGCACCCGGTCTTTGGCCACTTAGTTCGTCCTGCTCCTCGAGAGCCAAGCCTTAGAAGCTGGGGATCGGAAGGTGACCTTGCTGCCTTTCGCTGTGAGGGTACCTCTGCAAGACTCACGCGCGCACCCACTTTTGGTAGTAGCACTGCTTCAGATCGCGAATGGGTCTCGAATGTTCTAAACGGCTACCTCAACGTTTCGGACGAGTGGATTGTATACGATGAGGCTGATGCGTCTTCTCTCGGTCTTCCAGAGAGCGTTATTAGCAATTGCTCAGCTCTTATCAATCATGATCATGAGTGCACCGCTCCCTCCAACCTCTTCCCTGCTTCGCCCGTCATTAGTCTTGGTCCTGCTCCAGCTGCAACAGGTATCGAATATACTGGCCCCAATCCGTCAGCAACACTTGATCAACGTCTCGACGATCACGCAGATGCGTCTATTGCCAGCGACGATGGAGACTTGGAGAGTGCTAGCCTTCGCAGAGCTGAGCGTCCCTACCTCGTCGTAAGTTCTCATCATCTATGGCCTTGCTGCCACTTCTTTGTTTATTGCTAATTCTATGTGTCTTATAGATCTTCGTAATTGTCATTATATGCTTCGTTGCTGGCTCGATTGCTGCTATTGTTGGAGCATTTGTTTTTGCTGCTAGAAGGGGTATTCTTTAGTTTTTGTCATTAAATGAGTGATGGATTACAACAATGGGACGACATTATGTAACGGTTTAATTCCAGATCAGGGCTTATGAAGTACTCAGCTGATAATTATCGGCTGGTTGTTGCTTCTTGTTTCTTTAGGGTTTAGTAAAGGAATGGGTCAGTCTGGTTGAGTAGGATGATGCTTTAGTGAATGTATTTCTGCCATTCTATGGCTTAATTAATAATTCACTGTTATGATTTTAATATTTTTTATTAGTGAATGGCTGTTTGGTGAGCGTGCTATCTATAATTTGTATCTGACATCGATGGAATGTCCGTAATGAGAGGTATCGATATAACTAAACAACCACAAGCACCCATCTGATGACATCTAATCAGGTATCTCCAATGTTCGCTTTCATTTACAAACTGAAGATACTCATCTCTTATTTCCTGTACGACATAATCTACTTGTTTGGCTTCTATTCAGAAATCATGAAAGTTTGTTATGTATGTTCTTTCCCTCACTTTGAAGATTGATAGAACTCATCGCATACTCCATGTGACTACAATTTCAAAGTTTCCAGTATAGACTGAGGGATCTTAGCTATTCATTCTAAATATTTGAGATGGTATGTCTTGAAACTCTAAGATTGTTCTAATATTATGAATGAACTTTCAAACAACTCCAGTGTATTGTTCCTAGATGTACAAATCTAGTGCAGATATCAGGGAGGCGATATCTAGGTTTTCGATCAATATATTGCACCTATTACTACGACGTAAGATATATCAAGTGTTCATCCCGTTCTCCATAGCTGATATCTATATATTCTTACAATTTAGTCTAAGCATTACAGACGTTCTTCTCCTAACATTCGAAGAATGTTATTCACCTCTAACTCAAACTAATGAAGAAATCATAATACAGTCAAATTTTGATAGTTTATGGCTTAAACACGAAGCCAAGTCATTGCATAATGAGAGAAAAGTGTGACGTAAATGACTTTTCTGAGTCTTTGCTTTCACAAGGCTTTTTTTCACACTGGGGAAAAACAAACGAATGTTTGTTGAGGCTTTTTCTTTGAAAAACTCAAACTTGACTATTAGATAGCATTGCTATGAACACCATGTAAAACCTCCTACGTAACTCCATATCTCTTCTTGTTTCCCGAAACCAAACCCACCAAAATCATCAAAAATTCATGCAGTTCCCGACGCTCATCCAACCTTTTCATCACCATCAAGCATCAATCATCCTTCATTGTTCATTGCTTATTTCATTCCAACCGCATCTCACACTTTCCAATCCCATATTCTCTCCTACTCAAGCTTGACCTCCACCTCCGCCTCCATTGCCCTTCTTCTTCCCCTTCTTACTTCTCCTCTTCTTCGGTACTCCTGCATTGACATTTCCACCTGTCCCCTCATCGAGTCTAAATTCTCCTTCCAATGGCGTTTGTGCCGCACTGCTTTCTCCGCTCTCGAGCTGTAGTTCCCTCTCTTCAAGCGGTGTTTGAACTGGACTACTTTCTTCACTCAGAATATCGAATCTATCATTATCAAGTGGTGTTACAGCCTCGAACTGACTTTGTTGTTCGTATTGAGGCTGTTTTTCAATCGATCTATTGTCAGCAGGTCGAGGAAGAGAAGTGCCGAAACGGTCTTGATATGTCGGGATATTGAAACCTTCTTGTTGAGAAGGTGTTGAGGATGAGGATTCACCACTTTCAAATCGACTCAACAAATTCCTCACGTTACTACTCATCTTTTCATTTCTTTCTTCTGGAACTTCATGTTGAGACTCTCTCGCTGGATGCTCATTTCTAACATCTGGAACTCTGATTGATCTCCCAACAGAACCCGGAATCTTAGTCGGGGAGAGACCAAAATTAAATCCCTGTGAAGAACCCAGAGATTTTCCTAGCCCAGGCTCATCATGTCCATATCTAGAATAACTACTCTGTTTTTTCATTTCAGGACTGTAGCTTCTACTCATACTATCTGAAGATCTTTGGCTCGCGATTGGTAACCGTGATTGTGCGGGAGACCGCATTGGTTCATTGTATGAAGGATATCTCGGCTCAGGGCTTTCGCGGATTGTATCAACACGTTCTGCTCCTCTGATTGGCAACCCGAGATTCATACCTCGGGAAACAGGTCGCGATTCGTCATATGTAGGAAATGTTTCGGTGGATATTTTTGTCATTAAAGCTGTTGATGGAGTTTCCGGAATGGTATCTTGATGTGACGATTGATATGTGGGCGTTATCGGCTGATCTTGTTGGGGCTCAGGCTCGTTGTAGTGAACTTCTTGAGTTGGATAGGACTCTGAAAGGTATTTTTGAGAATAGCTTGGGCTAGAGTATGTAGGCATTGATCTCAAATGCTGGCTGTCATCTTGCTCGTTGAAGGTACGTGTATCGTGAGAAACTTCTTCATGGCTTGAATATCTTGGTTGTGGTATAGATCTACTAAAGCTGGTTCCTTGTAAGGGGTAAGAGCCCCTTGATTCATAGCGTAAAGTTGCTGGTTCCGGTTGAGATGACTCCATGTCATCTTCCGAGTCGGAGTAAGTTTGTGTATTTAGAGCTGGCTCTTCATAGTCATAGTCGTAGTCATAGCCTGTGTATCTTTGCTCCGCTGAAATTTCAGGCTGACTGAACTGGGCCTCGTGAGTTGAGTCAGTTCCGGTAATGATGTGGCTAGGTTCTGACTCTTGTTCTGGTTCTAGTTGCTCGGCAGCCACGTATTGACTGGTAGTGGCTCTCGGGTCAAAAAAATCATCTCTCTCTAGCCTGTGGTGTTCTGCAGTGATCGCTGGCTCATTTTCTTGGGAATAGATGGATTCGGTATCTTCAGGTTGTAAGTCATCCTTGACTCCGGTGGCAAATTTGTTCCCCGATATGTGTTCGTTATCAGACATAACTGGAGCTTCTCTAGAGTCTGGCTCTTCCGCGAACTCTAGCTCATCTTCATTTGAAACATGGAAGCTGTTTCGAACAGCTTCATTCTCGATTGGGAAAAAATCATCGAAGGATTGATAACTCTCATGTTGAGCTGGGAAGCTTTGGATAGCGGGATAGTCCTTCTCTAGGATAGCTTGCTTTTCCTGGACTGATGGGCTTGTGAGAGGAATCTCGGAAGCGATTTCGTCTTGGGTTGACTCGCTATCATGCTGGGTTTCTTCGATGGCTGGAGCTCCTCCGTGATTTGATGCAGTTGATTGAAATTCTGCTGAAGGCTTTAATCCTTGTAGTTTGTCATCCGGAGTATCATATGGTTCATCCCATTCGTTATCATCGGTCGTTTCAGATTTAGGACTTTCAGGGACCACAAGATCAGCTCCTAATTCCTTGTGATCTTCAACATTTTCTTGGTCGACTTCACGCTCCACGGAGTGAGCATTCTCGTCAACTTTGGAATCGATGTCTTTTGGGTTTTCTTCCGAAATTGGTTCTGATTCAACAATCTCGAGATGCTCCACTAAGGGACTTCCATTCTCTATTTCCTCACCTCCACTTTCCACATCGTGGGTGCTTTCGCTAATGGAATCTAACTTGGAGAGCGAACTTTCTTCGGCAGGATAGTCTTCGAGTCTCATTACGTCTCTCGGGTTTTCCTGTTCAGATTTCACGAAATACTGCCCAGGGTTGATTTCTCCTTCCAGTCTTGGTTCCTCTGATATTACCTCTCTAAGAACTGATTCTGATTCAAGTTGAATAGGCAAAGATTCATCTTCCCTAATGTCCAACGAAGGTGCAACATGGTCACTCAACTGTGTTTTCTCGAAGCTTTCCGTCTCGGGTTCCATGTGAGCTTCGTAAGGTAGTGATTCTATGTCTAATACCCGTTCCTCTTCTCTAGATGAAGCTGCAACTTGGTCAGGTGCACTTTCGTTGCTGTAGATTTTATTTTCAGGCTGCTCGGCTATTGACGGAATTTCAAGATCTGTTTTCTCATCCTCGGAAGGGATTACCGGATGGTCTTCTTGTACATTTTCATCCTCGGCAATCTGGCTCTGACTTTCGATAGCATCTTCGTGGGTGGCTGAGGTATTTTCGTCGACGTGATACAACTCGTCTGCGGGCAAGATATTGGTAGACTCTACCTCATGAATCTCCGATTCTGCAGGAATAGCATCCTCTTCGAGGTCGTTAGATGATACTACATGCCTTTCTAGATTTTCTTCCGGGCTAGTGTCGTTTGAAAGCTCCTCGTCAGTCACAGGAACCTTTTGCTCTTCCTCCGGCTCAGTAACATCAGCCTGGAATTGTTCATCCTCAATTCGGTCTCTAGGAGTTTCCTGGTCTTGGACTGGTGGTTGTGCTTCCGTGACATGAGTTGGTTCTTCGGCATCTTGTTCAACATCTAGTTCCTTTGGTTGATTCTCGTGAATTGTTTCCGTCTCCACAGGAGCATTTCTTCTTTCCTCCTCCTCAGCCTCAGCTAAAATTCTAGCCATCTCCGCGTTCAAGGCAGCAATTTCCTCACGGGCTTTGATATCTTCAGGATCTTCATAGACAACTGACTCTGATTTTGGCTGGCTTTCAAGAACTGGATCTTGGCTGGGTTTCTCGGCAACCTGTTCATCGATTTCTGTTGGTTTTTCTGCATCTCTGATATCTTCAGAAGTTTCATGAATCACACTCTCGGATGTTGGTTCGTTTCCAGAGACCGATTCTTCGTGGTGACTGTCAAGTATTTCCCTTTCAGTTGATAGAGGCTCGTCTCCATCGTTGGCTACAATCTGCTCTTCTTCGCTTGATCCGAACTCACCAGAGACATTCTCATTTACAACTTCTGGCTCAAGATTGCTCTCTACTGGCGCACTGTCTTCGACGCTTTCCTCTTCGGTGGGGAAATAAGCTAGGCTCTCAGTGACTGATCCTTCAATCGGTATCTCAACAGCATGTTGTTTTTCTGGTTCATAGTCATCAGTAACATCCTGAGCTTCATCTCTCGATTCTGGCTTAACAGGACTTTGATCCTCGACCACCGGCTCTTCAGCAATTTCTTGCGGCAATATTTTAGTGACTTGAGCTTCGTCGCCCGCTTGTGGCTCTTCAATTTCCATACCTGCAGCTTCCGGTTCACTAACAGCAGGTTCCACGGACTTCTCTTCACTCTCGACTGGAATTTGCGCTTGATTACTTGACTCAATTGCTGTTATCTCGGTTTTAATAGTTGAATCTGGACTTTGTTCTTGAGAAACTTCGATTGGTGTCTCTTCAATCTCGAGAGGTGCATTCTCAGTGCTGAATTCCTGGCTGTCTGGCTCAAGAGTCTTTTCTCCATTGTCGACAGATGGAGTGAAATTTTCCAATTTTTCATGTTCCTCGGGGGCTTCTTCGCTGTCAATTAGAGGTTCGTCTTGAGCGTTCAACTCGGGAGTGTTTTCTTCAGTCTCAACAGGTAATTGTGGGATGCTCTCTTCATGTGGGAACTCAACGGCTTCTGTGGGCTCGCTGAAGACACCATCAGTGGCATTTTTCGTAGCAGGAACTTCCACTGATTCTTGCTCGCTTTCAATGGGATGTTGATCATGAGAGTTTAAATCAATTACAGGCTCCTCTGTTTCGACAACCAGCTCGGAATCGTTTTCTGTCTGCACGGTTTGTGAAAGGTTCTCTACAGCTTGTTCGGGTACTTTCTCGCTATGAGGTTCCCCATCTTCCACTTCCAAGTCTTTCACCTCAATTTCGACAGGCTCTTCATCTTGGTCGTTCATATCCGAAACGGGTATCTCGGTTTCGATAGGAGCGTCGGGATTGCTTTGATCATGAGAGGACTCGACATTTTCCTCCGCCTGGTCCGGTGTCTCTTTATTGATAGGCTCCACAACTTCCGTTTCCCAATCCTTCGCATCAATCTCGGCAAGAACCTCATTCATATCGTTTGAATCTAGAAGGGGTGTCTCTGTGTCCGCAGCCGATTCCGAAGACTTATCCTCTTTCGACGTGTCAATAGCACTCTCCACGTCTTCGGTGGGAAGATTCTCATCCTTAGGTTCCAAATCTTCCTTTTCCAAATTGACTTCATTACTGTCCACCGGATGTTCTTCAGCCAATTTTTCAATCTCCCCTTCTTCATCAACCGTTTTCTCTTCTTCGGACTGCTCAATTACTTCAGACTCTGTAGAAATTTCTACGCTATCCGCGGGTGCTTCATCACTTGCTTCGGGTACTTGAGTAAGTGCCTCAACATCGTGATCTGTAAGAACGGGTGTTTCTTCGTTTTCGACGGGCGGATCGGCGGAACCAGGTAAGTTAGCCTGCTCAGACTCCGGAACAGGTTCGTTTGTTTCCAGAGGATAAGTTTCCTCCGAGTGTGCCGGAGGGGCATCACTCAAGACTTCTGGTATGGGGGTTTCGATGAGCATTTCCTCCAAACTTGGCTCACTAGATTCCTTGATTTCGGAGAGCTTTTCTTCTTCTTCCGCCAGGGTTGTCTGTTGCAAGTCGGCAGTCAAGTTTTGATCTGACTCCTGTAGAACAGGCGCTATCTCTTCAGTGAATCTTAAAGTGCGTTAGAATCTTGTACCTAGCTCCCACTTTATCCTCAAACAATCAACTTACTTCGAATCATCATCGCCTACATCTTCATTTTGCTGTATTTCAGCTCTCTCGCTCTCACCAAATGCTTCCTCCTCAGACCTATGATGATTTGTGTTAGCCCACCTCCTCTAATATCCCACTGTATATTCAGAGAAAGACTCTTCCGGTCGGCAATCATTACTAATGACCAAAATCATACGAAAAAAAACTTACCCTTCCACCGCAACAATCTCTTTCTCACCAGGTATCTCCTCAACGACAAGTCCTCCTTCGGCTTCCAATTTGCCCCTGGATAGTTCTGTGGCATCGCCCTCTTCAGGTCTACATCGACAAATCTTTAGGTCAATTCCCCTCAATTATGTTTTGTGAAAATTCAAGAATCATTTTTACTTACATTGGCTCTTCTTCTGCATCGTTTACCTGAGGCGCTTTGTCTTCGGGACTTTAAGTTTCTTAGTACTATGCAATGCGAAAAGGATCCTGATGTAACTTACGTATCCTGAGCCAAACCTGATCGTTCAATTGAATTTGGTGTGACACCATCAATCTCTACTTCCTTCTTAAGAGATTCGGGCTCCTCATTATCGTTTCTCGCTGAAAGTTCAACTTCTTGGTTGAGTTCAGACTAAAAAAATTGGTTAGTCACATAGGCAATTATGTTTGTAACAGGGAAATTTACAGAATCCTCTGAGGTTTCTATGGGCTCAGATTCCTCTTGAGGGAGTGTCTTTTCGCCAGAGAGATCTTTGCCAATCTGTTCGGACTCAATAGCTGCTGTATCTTCCGTTGTTTCCATAGTCTATAGGTATTGTTAGTTCACGCCACCACCCCACGATATATGAGTCTTACATTTGGTTCCGGTTCTTCATCTGTTGGAGTCGGCTCTTCAATGACAGCTTCCTGCGTTGGAGCCTCCGCTTCGATGGATGTCGGTTCCTCGGTTGGAAATTCCTTCTCAATCTGAATCACCGGGAATTAGCTGCTTACTTTATGACAAATCTTTCATTTCACGAGATTGGCTTGAAGATTAAGTTCATGGTATCTTACAGCTTCTGGCTCTGGTTCTTGGTCTACTGGTGTAGGGTCTGGATCTTCATTGACGTCGACCTACATAAAATATCAGATGAGCTTCCATAAAACACACAGTCGTTGATCATAACTTACCGTCTTTTCAGTATCTGACACAACAGCTTCTGGTTCTAGCTCTGGTTCTACTAGCGTTTCCTCACTGGCGGTCCTTACGTCGTCCGTCTGAGGTTTTTATTAGTGGAATACTCTACTTCGACATACTCATCACAGGATTATATAATTGATGATGTACTCACAGACAATTCGGGCTTCAACTGTGCTTCCGATTCTGACACAAATTGTTCTTCGACCTTCTAAATTGTCAATAAAATATACAATCTGGCTTTCCAAAAAGTAGTGACTTACTGGGGGTTCCGGGTTTTGTTCTGTAGGCTCTGGAGCTGCATCCTCCACCACCTGAGGTTTATATTAGCATCTCACGATATCTCAATCACTATTAGCACCATGACTTACTACAGGCGCTTCTTGTTCTAATACTGGCGTTTGTTCCTCAAGAAACTTATCTTCGGCCTGTAGGGTCTTATCAGCATCCATCTTCTCGTGAAACAACAGGAACGTGGGCAACCTACTGAGGCTTCTGGTGTTTCTATATCCCGTTCAACAACATCACTTACCTTACCATCCTTATCTTCCACTTCATCCATAGCCTTCATAACCCCCACCCCTGCAATTCCACCCAAAGCAAGTCCCGCAATCGTTCCCTTCAACCCATCATGATTTTCTTTAACCAAGTCTCCATGCCCCTTGATCAAATCCCCATGTTTTGACAGACTTTCCTCTTGTTTGATGGAACTTTCATCTACAAGTTTCCTCAATCCGTCAATATCACTCTTCAATTCATTATGCTGTGATCCGGTGTCTTCTTTCAGACCTTCCAATAAACCTGTATGTATACTTATGGCCTCATTAATGCCTTTAACAGGAGTAATGGCTTCTTTAATTTCGCTCAAGACAGTCGTGTGCGAAGTATGCGACTCGTTAGATACCGTTGTTGCTTCCTTGATTTCATTCAAAATTGTCGTGTGTGAAGTGTGCGAATCATTAGATGCAGTTGTTCCGTCCTTGATTTCAGTCAAGGCTGTTGTATGTGAGGCATGAGCATCTTTAATTTCGCTCAATACTGTTGCAAGCGAAGTATGCGACTCATTAGATGCTGTCGTTGAGTCCTTGATCTCACTCAAAGTGGTCGTGTGAGAGGCATGAGCATCTTTCATTTCTCCTAGGGTGGAATTTTGGGATTCAAGAGTTGTGATAATGGTTGAAAGCTGAGTATCTAGTGCACTTGTATCAAGCACCGGTGGTGATGTTGATTCAGAGGTAGCATCTGGCGACGACTGTGTTGAATGTATGGATTTCAGATCTTCCAAAGCAGCAGCGTGAGAAGTGTGAGAGTCATTCGATGCATCGATTGCTTCTTTGAGTTCATTTAGAGTAGCTGTGTGCGTGAGAATTGCGTCATTTGAGTTGGCAGCTGCATCTCGAATCTCTGCTAGTGTGCTGGTGTGAGTATTATGAGATTCATTAGAGGCGTTTATTGCATGCTTGAGTTCGACAAAAGTAGCAATTTGCGTGGCGTGTGCAGTGCTCAAGGAGGCTGCTGCATCTCTGATGACTCCCAATGTAGAAGTGTGGGTGCCATGGGATTCGTTTGAAGCATGAGCTGCATCTTTTATGTCTCCAAGAACTGCAGCATGTGCCGTGTGAGAATCATTTGAGGCATTAGCTGCATCCTTAATCTCACCCAGAGTTGTGATATGCAAGCCGTGTGCTTCCATTCCAGCATTAGTAGTATCTTTGATCTCTCCTAAAACCACGTTTTGGCTTTCAAGCGTCGCAATGACCGCACTAATCTGAGTCTCCAATCCACTAAAATCTACAGCAGCAATAGATTCTTTGACTGCTTCAACGTGATCAATTGATTTGTTCCCGTCTTGTTCAGATGAAATAGAAATATTCACTGCTGTCTTGAGTTCAAGCAGTGATCTATCCAGCTTCTCTTGTGAATCATTACAAGTATGTAACGCAGTCAGTATTTCATCACTGACATCCGATTCCTTCAAAGTACTGAAAGCTGCAGAATTACCTTCTTGTAACTCATGCAATGCAGTCAATATCTCATCACTTACATCCGCGTTCTTGATTTCTGTGAGTAGATTGGTGTGGCGATTAAGGGTATTCAATATCTTAGGTAATGAATCGTTGGCAATTTCGGAAGGATTCGTGGTATTAGTAGAAATATTGGATTTGAGCTCATCCAAAATGTCTGTATGTGCACTCAAAGTACTCTTGATAGCTATGATATGTGGTTCCAGCAAATTATCTACTACCATTGCATCCATATCATTTTTGGCAAGGGCCTCGGACTTTATCTCTTGCAGCAAACCGATGTGAGCATCAAGTGCACTCTTAATCGCCGTAAAATGTGGTTCAAATGAATCGAGGCCCACATTATCTCTTGATGTTGAAGGCGGAGCTGAATCATTGTTCTTTGATCTGATTTCATCCAAAGCTTCTGTGTGTGAGTCTAGCATGCGTGTCAAAGAACCAAAGTGATCATCAAACGCTGCTGTGTTCAGCTCCGTTTGTCCTGTGGTAGGTGTGAAATCCTTTGCCTTGATTTCTTCCAATGCTGCGGTGTGTGCTTCCAACATGTGAGTGATCGAACCAAAGTGTTTGTCGAGGATTTCGATGGTATTTTCTGCAGATGTAGAATCATTGGAGGGGCCATCTTTGGACTTGATATCGTCCAATGCGGCTGTTTGTGCTGCTAATATACCGTTGATTGAGCCGAAATGTGTATCGAAGGCATCCATATTAATTGATACGGGCACACCACTAGACTGGACATCCTTTGATACAATCTCATTTAAAACTGCACGGTGAGCATCCAGAGTTGAAGTGATTGAACTTAAATCAACGCTGTTTGTAGTGTCCTTAGCCTTGATATCCTCCAACGTTATAGTATGAGCTTCTAACAAGGTAGTTATTGGACTGAAATCAGTAGATGGTAAATCTTTCGATCTGATTTCATCCAAGGTTGTAGTATGAGCTTCTAGCAAGGCAGTTATTGGACTGAAATCTGGACTGCCTCCTGCATTTTTTGATTTGATCTCTTCCAGCGTTGCCGCATGGGTTTCAAGCATTGAGATGATTGGACCATCATCAGCAGGCGTTAAATCTCTCGATTTAATATCCTCCAAGGTTGCAGTGTGAGATTCCAACAGGGCGGTTATTGGACTGAAATCTGGATCACCTCCTATAGCTCTCGATTTGATATCTTCCAAAGTTGCAGTGTGAGCTTCAAGCACCGAGACGATTGGACTGAAATCAGCAGGTGCTAGGTCTCTCGACTTAATCTCATCCAATGCCGCCGTATGCGCCTCCAAGGAAGTAGTAATGGAGCCAAAATGGTTATCAAAAGCACTAGCGTCAATTCCTCCGGATCCAGAAACATCCCTCGTTTTGATTTCTTCCAGAATAGCAGCGTGCACATCTAACTTTTCGATAACAGTTCCTATATCCTTCTCCAAGCCTCCCAAATCAACACTTGCACTTGCAGTTGGAGATTCGGAAGGTGGATTTGGTAGGGCCTTGATATTTTCTAATGCAGCTGTGTGTGAAACATGTGACTCGTTCGATTTTTGAACTTCCGCGAGAATTGCTGTGCTTGTTTCTATCAAGCTGTCCATCTTTGATTCAAAGGGTCCTAGATCGATTGCGGTGGTTTGTTCTGGTGGCGGAGTGATACTTTTGAGGCTTCCTAGAGCAGATGCATGAAGGACATGCGAGTCGTTCGACTTTTGAACCTCCGCTAATATGGCTGCACTTGCGTCCGATTCCTTGATACTCTCGAGCGCGGCCGTATGCTTCTCATGGGCCTCGTTAGATTTCTGTACTTCCGTCAAGATCGTTTGAAGTGTTTCCGCATCTGCTGACGTGGGAGCTGGTTGGGTCGATACTTCCACAGGTTGTGTATTTCTCTCTTTGAGCTCTCTCAAAATTGTGGCATGTGTCTCATGTGACTCGTTTGATTTTTGTATACCGGCCAAAATTTCAGCGCTGTTTTCTGCTTCCTTGATCTCCCCCAATATCTCTTTCTGGGCGTCGAGTGTTAACTGTAAAGCATTGATTTGTTCCTTCAATAGTCCCAAGTTATCATTATGTGACGAAGTTCCTATTTCCAGGCTATCCTTCAAAGCTTCTAATTGAGAAGAAATGGCTTGAAGAAGCTCAACATCGCCCCCACTACCATTGGAAGCCACAGCTCTCGTCTCTTGAATGGGCGTTTCTCCAGTCAGATGATCATTGATCGCCTTTACCTTTATTCCTAGATCCGGACCAATTCGAGTGATGACTACCCTAACATTTTCCTGCAATTGATCTATTTGCGTTTGGATCACTGAAGTCTTGGTATCATTCTTGTCTGAGCTTTCTTTCAAACTATCCAAGCGTTCGTTCGATGACAATAAATTATTTATCTCCGCTATTCCTTCTACCACTTTCCCTAGTTTATGATTATTCAAGTCCAACGAGTCCGATATTTCAGTTAGTTTTCCGGCTGTATATGTGAGGCCTCGGTTGAAGGCAGGTCTTGATTCCTGATTGGAAAATGAAACAGGTGTACCAGTCCCAGAAGCCGAATTATCTGGTATGGGCAGTGGCCCCTCGTCTGCTACCGGGTGTGAAGATAAGGCGCCGTGGATACTAAGTCTTGCTTGGCCTGGAGTTATTGATCCCTCTTCATCTGCCATTGACTCCAACTTCAACAAAACATGGTCCACGCTATTGTTGGTCCTCTTCAAGAGTAGCTCATGTTGTAGAACTGCATTAACAACTGGCTCAATTGTGTCCAAAGCCGTTTTGATCTCGGGCTTGAGCAATTTGGCTATATGTGAAGCAAGTCCAGCCTGGAAGACCTCTCCAGAAATAGCTTCATCGATTATCCGTCGGAGAAGTTCCGGATCTGTTGGACTACTACCGGAGAAGCTCGCATGTTTGGAACTGGTAGAATCCTGGGATTTCTTTCCTTCGAATGATGCCCGTATCCGATGCGATAGGGGAGGTCGCGAATTAGTCGGCATTCTTCTTGTACCCTCTCCTCGTGATTTTTCTTTCCTGAGACTACCAGAAGTACCAGCAGAAGGTTGAAGATTAACTGGCATTGGAAAAATTAAACAAATGGTAGAACGAACGAAATAAACTTAAAGATGAACACTTGAGACGATTGACGTCCAAGAAATAATGATATTAGAGAGCTGCCTTACTATTAATCTTACCTCTTTACCATGTCCCCAGTTCGCATATATATCAATTTGAACACTTGGAATATATAAAACATGGTTGTATAGCACGAATGACTGTTAATTCATGCGTAGTTTAACGTTGAACTGAATACTAAGTGGTTGAAAGGAGGTGAGAGAAGTAAGAGCAAATAATGTGTTGTTTTTGAGTGGAGTCAAATCAATGAATGATGTTTCTTTAGGCGCTCTCGCTTTACCCAAGTTACCTTTGCAGTGCTTTGGTACTTCACCGGGAACTGGGGTGCAGCCCAATGCCGGCCTTCTCCCCTCGAGCGATCATCCCTTCATCTGCTGCCGTACACGTATTACTACTAAGGCTGTGATTAGACGTTGGCAAAATGTATTGTTATGAAAAGTTCGGATTAAGAAAAACTTAATTGATCAATAAGAATTGTCACTAAATAGAAGAGCAATTTGTGGTGTCTAGTAGTTCCAAAATGACCTCCAAACTCTTAGGTAGACAAGTACGTCTGTATGTCTAACGCTGATGGAGGGGAGAGAGGGGTTACGTTTGGAGGGGAAATCCCCAACCATTGGCAGCAAAGGCAGCTTGAATTGTCCAAAAGACCTAACATCATCACGACAGCTAAGGTGTAAATGTAAGATGACTGACTACCCGAATAGAAAATAGTACATATCATCTTAGCTCCCGTTGCTGTTGTTTGTTGTTCGGCTGGTGAAGAATAAATGGATGACAATCAAGCTCCAACCTTGTTTTGTGCTTCGCTGGAAGGTAATATCATACCTGCAAAGTATTCATACTTTGGAAATGCATCAAAAGAGCGTCATTGGCTCTCTCATAGGGCTTACCAAGGGTATCTTAGTTGGGAATCTGATACAAGGTTAGGATCTTGTCTCGAACTTGTGTGGGATGGTTCAGGGGTCATCGTCTAAACCAAAACGTCTAATTGAATTTAATGCCTCCTTCCAAAAATATCTTTTCAACTTCATCGTCACCGAGACTTCTACCATGTGTCCATCATACTTTCATAAATTTGATGAATACCTGCAAAGCATTTCTTAAGGGTGGTCTTGGGCAGTAAGACCACGAATATATCCGGATTACAACACAAGATGATATCCAATACTTTTCTTCATTCTCATTATCATGCTCGTATATCAGAATCGTCATGCTATCATATGACCCTTTCTACCATCCCTCAAATTCTCCGACAACATCAGACTACATCCTCAAGAATACAACACAGCATATCAAATTCTGATATGTAGGTACCACAACACGAAAAATGTTGGACAAAGATACATCTTTCCACTGCCCCGAATTTCCCTCCTATCCGAAACTCGGTAATATTTTATGCCGATGACCGACCAACTTGATTTTGGCTTGATTTTGGCCTGCCTCGGCTTAAATATTGAAAGCGCGGTACCGGTATAGCTCTCTCTTGACGATCACAAGCTTCATTCATAACATTCCCCTCCAATAAACATTCCTTTCGCAGATAGATTTTCTCACAATCCCTCAAAGTTTCCTTCCTCACCCTCTCCCAACCATGTCTCCCACTTCTTCTACCTCTCCAGGAGCTCAAATAAATCAAAAGATTGACACCATCAACCCTCATCTGCCCCACGTCCCTGAATCTAAAGCCGAATTAAAGCAAGACGCCGAAATTGTTGTTCAAAAATCATTCGCAGGATTACGGTCGCTGGCTGCTGGAGGTTTCGGTGGTGTTTGTGCAGTTGTTGTCGGTCATCCATTTGATTTGGTCAAAGTTCGTTTACAAACTGCGGAAAGAGGGGTCTATAAAGGTGCTATTGATGTGGTTACGAAATCTGTCGCGAAGGATGGTCTTGCGAGGGGTTTATATGCGGGTGTGAGTGCGCCGCTGGTGGGTGTCACTCCTATGTGTATGTTTTCTCTTTTTCCTTCCTCTGATATTGATGATTCTTTTCTTTGCTTCAATTTCGAAGTTCCTTGACCACACAACTAATCTTTCTACTCAATAGTCGCCGTATCTTTCTGGGGTTTCGATGTTGGCAAGAACCTTGTGCGCAACTTTACCTCCACTGCCCCTCATGAACCCCTCACAATCGCTCAAATCAGTACAGCTGGTTTCTTCTCTGCCATTCCACAAACTATCATTACCGCTCCATTTGAACGTGTTAAGGTCCTCCTACAAATCCAAGGTCAAAAAGATCTCGCGCCTGGGGAAAAGCCAAAATACAATGGTGGTGTTGATGTCGTGAAGCAGCTTTATAAAGAAGGTGGTATCAAATCAGTCTTCCGAGGATCAGCTGCTACACTAGCAAGAGATGGACCTGGAAGTGCTGCATATTTCGCAACTTACGAATACATTAAGCGTCGTCTAACTCCTATAGACCCTATCACCGGAAAACCAGGAAAGGACTTGAGTTTATTGGCAATCACTGGAGCGGGAGCATGCGCAGGTGTAGCAATGTGGATTCCGGTCTTCCCAATTGATACAGTCAAATCGAGGCTACAGACTATGGATGGCAAACCAACCGTTGGGGGTGTTATAAAAGGATTATATAGAAATGGAGGATTCAAGGCGTTCTTCCCTGGATTTGGACCAGCATTGGCAAGAGCTGTGCCTGCTAACGCGGCAACATTCTTGGGTGTGGAATTGGCGCATCAAGCTATGAACAAGGTGTTCGACTGAGGGGCTCAGAAATGGAACCAGTACCTTGTGAATGGAAGATGAAACAAAGGGGGATGACACCGTCGAGGAAAGAGAATAGGAATCAGGGAAGTACTTTGCTACTGCTACGTTGGCAGGGATAGATTTCTTTAATTCTGGCTGGAAGGAAAAGAATTTATAGACTTGAGATACCATGCAATTGAACTTATTCAGGAGATCACACCTAGTTTTGCTCAAACATTTTCTGAAGTTTGATAAGTGAATCGAATAGACATCACATACATTACTCACTCAATATTCGAATATCACAGTATAACGAGAATGAATGGTCGTCGTCGCCCTGTAATTATCTTATATATCTTATGTATACTATGGCATAGGAAATATCGTTGTTATTGTCATCACGCTTATCGTATGATTGAATTCCAAATTGATTACAAATCATCTAATTTATTTATTCGTCTTTACTCTTGTCAAAACCATCAACGATATTCCCATGAATCTTCCTCGGCCGCAGTGATTCTACAATTCTCTGGTAAGCTCCTCTAACCTCATAATGTTTCCTCCTATAACATATGTCCTTATACAGAACCCTCTCTAGGCCAATCCTTGACCATGTTTTTAAACACCTTCGTCCTATGCGATCCCATCCTTAAAACCTGAACAAGTTTTATGCGTAACTTATATATCCTCCTAATATACATGTTCATCGTATCTACCATAATCATATTGAAGGCTCACCAATGACCCGAACTCTTGTTCAAAGGTCCTTCATTCGAAGAAGAGCCCCATTTACAAATATTGGCCATTGCGTACCGTTTATCCTGAGAAACTCCAGGAACGCTTTTCAATATGTGCCGAGATCGCCATATTCTACTGGCAGAGATGCGGTGGCCCCAGGGATATCTGAATACTCCTTGAGGAGCTTGAGGAAAGATAAAGAATCGAACTTTACGTCTACAGATACAAACTACGTTCCCGTAAGGGAATGGCAGAAATCGAAAGTATGGAACAAAATATTCAGCCCATACTATGACCCCAAAAAGTTTCAACCTTTGCGCCTGCTAAGTACCCCTGTGCCGCTTTGGGATATTGCGCCTGGCTGTCTTCTGTTTCTTCCTGGTGTAAGCAAGCTGGACCCCCGGGCCCGCGCAGAACTCGAAAAATATGGCAATATTGGCATGGCTGGCCATCCTGTCGTGGTTTTGGCAGTTGATATGAAAGGAGTTAATGAAGCTTCAGTTGCTGTAGCAATAGTTAGATCTTACTCCCAACATAAAGATGAGTGTCGATATCTCGGATTGGACTGGTTCGATACCAAACACTTCGAAATACAACAGAGAGGCAACCACGACTTACCTCCACGGCTCGAGCACAATATAAAAATTGTACGGCTATACAAAACCCCTTGTTCGAATTCTTCGAATTCAGTACGACAATTTGTTCAAACAAGCGCCATAATCACTGTTCCTTTCCAATCGTTGTTGACAGAAACCAGATGGGACCCATTAACTCATTGGTGGCCTTCATCCTGTCTTAATGGTTGGGGTAGAAGGATCATAAAGGAAGATTTTATGCACATCGCTGCTACTATTGGCTTCAACCCAGATCCATGGGTTAGCAGTGGCCCATACATGTGGAGGGATTTTGTTCAGAAGACTGGGATCAACACATTTGGTCTTGATATTGAGGATCCTGCGCTATACGATGAGAAAGCCTTTTACCAGCAAATGTGGGAAGAGGGACGAGAAAAATATAATAAGCACTTCAAATTACCTTCAAATTACCCTTCGAGCGCCAATGATTATTCGCCTTTGGGGTGGGCTTTCGATCGTATGCCGCATACAGGGCTCATACGCAGGAGAGTTCACGCTGTAAGGTCTTCTACCTATAAAAGATTTCGCCTCGATATTCCAGCTACACCCCATACCTCTACTCAAGTTTAATTTCAATAGTCTCCATCTTGCTCTTACGCTCAGCCGTGGGGAACTCACGAATGTATCAAAATTGTACAATTTTCAGAAACTGCCTCGTAGCATATCGCATCTTTTCTTTCGTCGTCTATTCTTTCGTTTCCAAGAACCACTTTGCTTGGATGTGTCGCGGAGAAGATGTGAAGGTATGATGTATGTGGCAATTTCCATTTGTTACTCAATCTCATTGCCGAATGCATTGCCAAAACTCCCCATTACATTTTCTTGGACATAGCTTACATTGTTGATACTTTGTCGAGATTGACGCTGTATTTGGAGTTCTGTGGTCTCCATAAGCGAATGTGAAAGGTACGTGGCTCGCGTGATTAAGGGTACAGGTGTGTATTCCATTCTGTCCCAATTTTATCATCTTCGCACTTTTCTCTTACTTCTTTGTCCTTTCGGCCCTGTCTACCACTTGTGGGGGTTTAGAATTCCTTAGAAGGTCGCCTATATTAGTAGATGAGATGGGACCAATACCATCGCATCTGGCTTAGCCTATATTGTGTAACATTGTTGGACTCATTTTCTGTACTATGGGTACATCGCTATTCGCTGCCCCATTCTATAATCCAGTGATCAGTTCAAGAGCACAAATATAACCACAGTCCACAGCAGTAAGAAACAAAGAGACGGATAGAAAACGTGAGACGATATGTTTATATCAAAATACTCTTAGATATACTACTGTACTCCCTCGATCTTTACACGTCATGTCTGTTTTCAGCTTGAGACAGAAATATATCCGAGAAATTCATCACTTTCGCAAAGAGTTATTGAATGCAAATTCAAATCGACTGAGCCATGATGTCCCTTGAATAAACCATGCAGTGAGACATACTAGTTACACAACTCAAAACGGGAACATCAAACTCATTCTCGCTACAAATCTGAAGCGTTGCATTATCCAATCACCACAAGTCAGTCCCAAGATTTTGCAAAGTGATAATCTATCTGGTGCTGATGATGCTTACCTTTTTGTCAGATGTACCTTATATTAGTATGTCATGTCTAGACTTGAAAGCTCTTATTTTGAGGTTGTAGATACTTTCATAATGTCAAGTATGTATGGGTCTCAGCCTCTGATCCTATCGACCCCAGATTTCAGAATTCTATGTACTACAACGCTCAGCTGCAAAGATTATTGGAATTATACATAAGTACCTATGAATCCTTCTGATCATCTGCTGTCTTCAGTCGACAAATTCGGAATCTACATGGTTGCATATAATCCAGTATATCGCCGATCACCCCAAAACTGGACTAGACCTATGTAAAGACTAAATCAATATCATAATAGGGAAAAAGGAAATTCTGAATAGTTTCATTAAAATGTTATTAAATCAATCATTGTTATTCTACTCTAAGATTATGAGTTCTAATATCTTCAAATAATAGAGATCAACAGGACTTGGAAAGGTTTTCAAATAGGATTATATAAAATTCTATTTCGACTACTTGTATACCTACTCATATATGACCATTCACATATCGTTCATGTATATAATTCGACTTTCTTCTAACCCTTTAATTACACCTTCGACTTCGACATCTCTGAAAGTAGAGCCTCTAGGATTATATCACAGTATATCCTGTTGTTTGGTTCTTCAAAATCGACATCGAATGATATAGGATGGATTTCTTTGATCTTTCTGATGTTTACGAAATCGATGATACGGTCGAAAAGAGGTTGGCGAAGCATCAGAATATTGTGATTCTAACTCAGTGAGATGGGCGAGATACTAAACTAAATACAAAATACGACTAGATAGACTCCGAGTTTCTCGAGTTGAGATAGTAGTATAATATGGTTCAAGTAGATGGTGGATGACTGAGTTAGGGAAAAGTGTTATCAGAATATATACGAATCGTGGGGTTTCAATCAAGCTGTACGAGTAGCGGTCTTGGGTCCTGATGGGACAATTCTGTAATGCGAGGTTGGAGATCTGTGGGAGATGTATATGTAGATCAGTGAGTTAACTTGTACGGACGGTCCTTGACATTTTATATCCCCATCTCTCTCACAAACTGAGTTGGTAAGTTTTGTTCGCTATCCTTTCTACTCATTCATTTGTTTATGTTCAGTTGCCATTATTATCTTATTCTCAAAACCCAACGCAAAATGCTTTCGAGACTTCAACTCAAGTCTCTCGTTACATTTCTCTATCTTTCTTCTTCCGTCTTGGCTATTCCGGTCTTGGAGGAGAAGAAAACATCCTGTACAACACCTGTACGTAAACCTCTTACTTTCTCCTGGTCTCTCATTCGCAAACATCTCCGCCATCTCCGCATCCGCGGATCATCCCCCAACTCCTTACTAACCACCTCTCAGGAAGGCACGGGAACCTGTCAACTCGCCACCTCCTGCACCTCTACTGGATTCAACATCGCAGGCTACTGTCCCGGCAACACCTCCAGCCAATGCTGCATCTCCAGAACATGTCAATCCTCCACCGGCGCAACAGGTCTCTGTCTAAATATCTCTGATAATTGTACCGACGGCTCTTTCATCGCGGGTTTCTGTCCCGGTAGCGGAGTCCAATGTTGCGTGAAGGACAGCGAGACGAGCGATCCGAGCTATAGACAAAATGCAGAGAAAAGAGCCTCGAGCGGAAAAAAATGTATTGCAGGCGGCGGATGCGAAGAAGGGGACCCCTTACGTATCTAGAGGGGGCGGTTGTAACGGGCCATCACATGGAGGATTCGATTCTTCGGGTATGTGGCACTCCCAATATCCATCGTGCGACGCGTACTCACGGCCGATACAAAAGGACTGGAACAATACGCCATCTGCAAAGCAGAAGGATATACCATTCGTACGATCTCTTTCCTTGCTTCCTTCCTTTCTCCCTATTCCATTACATCTCTTTGATTCCCCTGGACTATGCCCCCAAATGAACTAACTAACACCCCATCTCCACCGCCAGCCCGCAAACCCCAAAATCAATACAACTCGACCCTCGGTAAACATATTCCCCGCGCGCAAGCCCAAGCCGGCGATTTGATCTTCTGGGGTACAGGTGGTGATTGTGTGGATGGAGTACATCAGGTGGGAATTTGTATACACAGTAATTGGATGATTAGCGCGTTGCGTCCGGGGACGGTGGTTAGGGAGAGTAAGATTGAGGGGGGGAGTGAGTTGTGTGGAGATGTGGTGAGGTTTTGGAGGGAGTAGGGTGGGGTGGGATGGGTGGATTGGGATTTTTGTTTTGGGTTGGGGGGGGGAGAAGATTGAGTTGAGTTGGTATGTATGTATGTGTACAAGATGGAAGGAATACTTCTCTCGAAATGAATGATGCAGACTTCAAAGTTCCGCTCGAGATCCGAAATCCGAATCCATAAAGCGGTACGCTTATTATTCATCATACAATACAAATCATCATCAAAGTAAGATATTCATGTGACAAATATATTTGTCCTCAGAAAGAAAAACAAGCAATAACTTTCTGGTTCAAATAGCATAGACATAGAATATCTTGAGAAAATACTCCATAAAACTATTGAATCTCTCGGTACTGTACCTCTACCTTTGAACTTTTGATTTAGGGGCTGCACGACGAACGAGGAAACCATATGTGCAATTTCATTCAATTTATCTATTTAAAGATCCATCAACAATTCCTTTCCACTATCTTAAGCCCGTGAATATGCACGTCATGTGAAAATAATAACGCCATTTTACATCCATCCCAATCCATCCCATCGTCCGTCAATCAATCTATCTACCCATTTTGAATTCCTCCCCTCGAAATTTAAGTGCTTCCACCTTCTTGTCCCTCAATTCCACCCATACCACCCATTTGTACTTCAGATCCACCAGTCTCTTCACCCTTCTCAATCTTTTCGGCTTTAACATCCACACCCCTATTAGCTACTTGCTCGACACCTGCAACCAACGTATCGTAAGGACCCTCTCGAATTTGTACATCTCCGTCTCTCTGATCTCCTTCCTTTACTTCTGTAGCAGCAGCACCTTCTAATCCACCATCGACATCAACCTTGATCTCTCCATTCTCAACCTTGAATCCTGGAGCTACCTCCGCCTTGTTTTCTCCTTCCTTTTTAAGTTCCGCTTCCCTTTGAGCCCCCACTGAATTATTAACCAAAGGTGTGGTGTCATTGAAAATTCTCAATAACATAGCACTTCTATCCTCCTTTGCCAACATCAAATTAAGCGAATGCATACTTCTCCATAAAGGAAGGACCATTCTCTCGGTAAAAGCATCTTCGCCTTCACCTGGTTCAATTCTCAAAACACAACATCCCATTCCGATATCTCTGACTCGTTCTCCAATCTCTCCAAGTTCCTTCCACGAATCGCCTGATACTTTAGGGAACATCTCAATCAAGAGAGTACGAAGTGTCTCTTTCTTGGATAAATTGACAACTCTTCCCTCTCCGACATAACCTTGAAGAATTGGCATACCTTCGGACTGAATACGCCATCTACAAACGCCCTCTCCTTGAACATCTTGTTTCATGAACATCTTAACACCAGCATGGACGAACTTTATTCCCTTGCCTTCATTCTCGCTTAAGATATCTCTAATCAACGCAGTTGTGTAGTAAATTGTCTTGGCTGGTTCACCAGTTGCATTTCTAACCAAGAATCTATCTCTTGGGAATTTCTCACTCAATTTGTAGAACGATTCAATATCTTGAACTTGAGAGTGGTCACCGGGAATATATTTGAATGCCTCTTCAAATGCTTGATTTTGACCGTACTTATTGAGAAGCTTCTTTGGTGGAGCATCGGCTCGTTGATCGCCTGGGCGAGTTGTGAGGTCCAGCTCTGCGCCTGGTGGTGGTGGGTAATGTTCTGTACGACCCTCGGTGGGTGCATGGATTTCGGTATCTTCCGTCTTTAATTTTTTGTTTTCAATAGCGGCATCCATTTCGGTGTCTTCGATCTCCGAGGCAGGACGCTTAGAACCAACGGTGTGTGTTGCATCCGATCCAGGTTGTTCTTGGTTTTGACGTGCTACAGGTGTAACTTCGTCGAGAGTGGATGTGGTAGGGTGAGTAAGTTCATCAGCTGCCTCAATTTTTGGTGCGACAGTCTCACCATCCTTTGGAGCAGGAGCAGATTCGATCTCATCAACAATTGCTGTGATGGGAGGTTTTGGTGCAATCTTTTTATTTTCCGATTCGGGCTTTGCCTTGAACTCTGCTTGTTTCTCCAAAATTGTGATGAAGAAACCACCAGTATCTTGCAAATGTGCGTAAACGCGCATGCATTGATCCAAAGGAACACTTGACATAGATTCATCAGTTGGTGGAAACATACCCTCAACCAATCTGCCAGTCCAGTCATCTTGTCCATTTTCTGCAATGAACTTTTGTAATTCAGCCCAGGATTTCCAAACACGACCTTTCTTATCCATGACAGTCCAAGTCTTCAAACCTGGTCTTCTCTTGAGTAAAGGTAATTGATCGTCGCTAGATACCAATTTAACCTTCTCAGGTCCACCGCATCTTTCAATGGCGGAAGCAACGACTGCCTCGTTTTCAATAGGATTCATACTACAAGTAGAGTAGACAACACGTCCACCAGCCTTGAGCATTTGAAGAGCTCTGACCAAAATGCGAACTTGTGTAACATAAAGTCCAAGTGCATTACCTGGATTCCAATCCTTCCACAAATTGACATTCTTTCTAGTTGTACCATCTCCAGAGCAAGGTACATCGGCCAAAATTCGATCGAATTTGAGGTATCGGTTGGTTGCTGGGTTTTCTGGCGTAGGTGGAAGCTTGATTGATGGAAACATAGTGGCATCATGATTGGTAACGATAAGATTGGGGGATGAAAGTCGTTTAAGTTGATGAATCAACATGTGACTTCTTTTGTAGTCGGCATCATTGGCGATCAATAAACCTGTAGCTCTTCCATCGTCACTTGGATCAAGCTCCAATTCTGCGTCTGCGCTTCCGTCTCCTTTCAAGACTGCTTGAACTCTGGTTTCCTCTCCATGATGTACCATTTCCAACAATTGAGCTGCCTTACTTCCTGGCGCAGCACACATATCCAAGACTGTCATTCCAGGTTTCAAGTCCATAACCAAAGGTGGAATCATGCTGACGATTTCCTGTCTACTAATATTTCCGACGCTGGTTTCTGAAACCAAGAATTTCTGGAATTTGGCAAAGGGAGGAGATTTTCGGATGACAGTTTTCGAAGTCTTCATCGACCATGCGAGTTCATCTGGATACCATGGAACTGGCATTGGAGGTTCAACCGGACTACCATCGAATTGCTTGATTTCCGAAATTTCGGGAATGTATCGTTCTTTCAATTGTTTTTGAACCGCAATTGCATGACTAAAAGTTGTTAGAAAAGTGTACCAGGCCAAGAATACCGATTTCATGAATTCATATTCACATAATTGAATAACATACCCTTTGGACCCCGCAAATCGAAAACTATTTGGTAGTTCTCTCTTCAAGGCTCCCCAGAACTCTTCTTTCTCTGCCTCTTCTAAATTCAAAAGTTCATTATAATATCTCTCGAATTTCTCGTTGGATTTTGGAACTTTCTCAAAGCTGCATCGATTGTCGACTTGATTATCTCTTGATCTTCCACCATTTCTACCACCTCGTCCTCCTCTGCCGCCACGACCTCCCTGTTAAATATTAGATATTTTGATTCTATCAATTGGCAAATGGGAGTCAAAAGCTTACCTTTCCACGTTGACCCATTTTCAAATAATTGGGTTGATTGAAAAATGGATTTATGGAAAATATTGAATTTGCGCAAAATCAAGCTATGCCTTTCAGTCGCAAAGGATGATAAAAATTAAATGCTGAAGGTCTGTCGGAATAATTGATAATCCGACCGTCCGAGATCACGCCTAGTGACAAACCAATCATAAACACGTATATTTATTCACACTCATCATCTTCACATAAACTCCTTGGTAATATTAGTAGTAAAGCTGATAATTAGTTAACTAGAAGGTAGACAGATACTTGTTATACCATTTAAGGCTACTTTAGAATCAAACCTCTAGCCAAAAGAGTTTCTCATCTGACATTCACATGTTTGACTTCATCTAATCCCTAGGCAACTCATACAGTGCATTCATCTCATCCTGAACAAGAAATGAATCCAAAATCAAGACTGGGCCATAACTATAACCCCTATCCCTATCAAAATACCAATTTCCACACTGTTCAAAGCTCTGTCACATGCCATGGGAAGAGCAAAAGAAGAGGGAAGGGGGGTGAATACTGGTGAACTAAGAGATTAGTGTGTATATATGACCCATTATCCCTTTTTGATATGATATTAACAAGAATCAAGTCATCCTCAACACAAGTCAGGAATGCACTTGGTATGTGACTGAAGCGGACATCAGTGGTGGACAATTTACAGATTGGTGAATCATGGAGACTAGAAGATGAGAGTGGGAGCAGGGTAGTGTCAATGAGTTTGAAGGGTTTAGGATGTTTGTATCTCACAACTCCAGATAACCTATGACGGAGATAATATTGACAGTCAGCCCTTAGACTAGCTCAGGGATGACTAGAAAGGGACCTTTCATAAGCTTGTCAAAGGGTGGGCCTAAACTTTTAAAACTGTAGTATAGATCTTATTGAAAAGCTCTGAAACTATCAGAAATATACAGAACAAGAAATTTGATATCAAATTTCGTGTCTGAAGGTACTGCC